CCCACCGCCAACGAATCCACCACAGAAATATTTGCCTCCTCCCGTGAGCACAGCTCCTCCACCACCACCACCACCAAAGTACTTGCCGCCTAGGCCAACAAACCCACCGCAGCCCAAGTACCTGCCACCTCCCCAGCCAACCAATCCACCACAGCCCAAGTACCTTCCACCTCCCCAGCCCAAAAAGGGCTACGAGTACCCCAAGCCCTCCATCCCATTCCCACCTCCAACTAATCCCCCACAGAAATACTTGCCACCCGTTAGGGTAACCATTCCCCCGCAGCCCAAGTACCTGCCACCTCCCCAACCTACCCTCCCACCACAGCCTAAATATCTGCCTCCCCCGCAGCCCAAACAGGGCTACGAGTACCCAAAACCTGCTATTCCCTTCCCAGCTCCCACACTCCCTCCCCAGAAATACTTGCCACCCACCACCACCACCACACCTGCACCACAGCCCAAGTACCTGCCACCTCCACAACCCAAACAGGGTTATGAGTATCCCAAGCCAGCCATCCCATTCCCACCACCCACAAATCCACCACAGAAATACCTTCCTCCCGTTGTGCCCACCAGCCCACCACAGCCCAAGTACCTCCCCCCACCCCAGCCGAAGCAGGGGTACGAGTATCCCACACCAGTCATTCCCTTCCCTCCTCCCGCACCCAAGACCCAGGGTTACTCCTACCCGAAGCCAGCGATCGCCTTTGATTTCTGATCCCTCATATCCTTCGCCACCCCTCCAACCTACATCACTGATCAAATGACACGATTGCCTCTGTGTGCGCATAGTGATCCTTAGGAACGTACGAAATTGAATATTTGTAATTAACTGTAATAATTTAATTTAAAACCTAATTTTAATGATACATCAGGGTCCTGCCCGCGAACTCCACGATCGAACTTAGTCATTAAAATATGTTTATTAAATTTATGTTTTAAAGATTACGCAGCGCTGACGAAATTAAACGACCTATGTGAATGTTAAAAGTATCGTATTTTCACGATTATTATGTTTATTTATTTCCTATCCATCAAAACTCAACTTCAGATCAAACGCAGAATAATTTCAATAATTATCTGATGTTCCTGTGAATTCCTATTTATGGCAAACAGTAGGAAAATAGTAAAGTAAAGTAAAGAAGCATTCTTTTTGTCTCTCTTACCTTTTGCCACATAATATTGCGCTCTTTTGTTACTCTTTCCTTTCATGTGTGAGAAGAACAGTAAATGAAGGTTCTTCTCACACATGAAAAGTCGACGATTCAGTGGTTACGACGGAAAAGAAACGGGACTAAGAAACCGGGCGACGATTCGATCGAACGATTTGCGAAACGAAAACGCACCAGCATAACCAAAAGAATTCAAATAATTCCAAGCACATTTCCATGAGAGCACACATATTTGGTAGATTAATATAAGGTGAGGAACAACTGCACTGAACGCACTGCAGCAAGAAAGAGAGATTCCCAAGACCTCACCTCACCATGTAATGAGAGAGCGTCGACTCGCTGCGCTCCCGCCATTCTTATTGCTCTTCTTTTCTGCTCTTTACTTTGGGCATTGGAGTGGGAAAGGGACAAAACTCTGCCCCTCTTTTGCATTTTCTGCACACACGACACACAAACACTGACACACATTGCCAGAGATAACGTGACCAAACGAAAACAAATATGTATGCATTAAATAAAAAGTCTAAATGTTGAATAATAAATGCATTATACATTTTAAACACTTCACAATCACTTATTTCCTTATTTTTCCGCTCTGCCTTTATATGCCATTTTGCCGTATCTCTGGATCAGGAACCTTTTCTTGCCATTTTTGGGCCTTTTTCTTTCGAAACACTTCCCCACTATAACGCAACCACTTCACTTCACTTCACAATACACTTTTCACTTTCACTTATTGCCAATTTTTCCGCTGCCATTCTGCCATTTTTGGGCGTATGTCTTTTGAAACAGTGCCCCACTGGATCTCTGGATCAGGCCAGATACTGCAACCACTTAACTTCACTTCACCAATACACTTTTCACTTTCACTTATTGCCAATTTTTCCGCTGCCACTCTGCCATTCTGCGGCATCTCTGGATCAGGGATTATGCTGCAACCACTTCACTGCACATTTCACTTCACTGCACCACACTGAACCACTACACTGCACTGCACCACTGCCCTACAATTTTCCCGATGGATTTTCCATCCATTTCCCGATTTTCGCGACCCGAAACGCGGAGCTTACTTAAAACCGCTCGCTTTGTCCGTCCGAAAAAATTGAAAGTGAGAGAGCGGCGCAAATTTTAATGCGTAGGTGGCCTTTTTTCTAGAACATTCTATGCTCTCCTTCTTTTGTGCTTCCCACTTGCTCTCTCGTTCGACTGCGTACAGTGGCGTAGGGGGATTTGTATTACATTTTTCCCTTTTCCCCTTTCCAAGTGATTGACAGAACATACTTATGTAAATGCACACGGAAATGCAGCCCTCTCCACTGCACGCCACTGTATTCTCAAGAGGCCTCTCACCTACAGCTCTCCTTCTTATGCGCTTCCTACTTGCTCACGCATTGGAGTTTAGATGTGTGTTGTCCCTCTCCTACTCTAAGAGAGCAAAGATTTGTGCGTTTGACAAAGAAACGGTTAATGGCAAGAAAGGTAAAATGGCTCTGCATCTGTTTTCGCATGTGTTGTGCGTGTGGAGAGGGGAGAAGAAGCCGAGAAGGCGAACATGGAAGATGATAGACGACTGCATGGAATGTTCAAGAAACAAAGCCTCCAACAAATTCAATACCTTAGAGTTCTATAGTCTTTGGTAGGAGCCTTCGTTTTTAACATCGAACATTCCATGCTCTACTTCAGTAGCACTTCCTACTTTATCACCCATTTTACTTTGGAGTTCGCCTTTGATATTTTTGTCTCCGTCTCAAACACCAAGAGCGCGAAGGTTTTGCGGTTGGTGAGAGACTTTTCGGCAGGACAGTGGTGTGCTGTGAAGAGGGGCTGAAAAGGATCATGTAATACCACTAATCCCCTACGCCACTGTACGCATTTGAACGAGAGAGCAAGTGGGAAGCGCAAAAGAAGGAGAGCATGGAATGTTCTAGAAACCAAGCCGCCTACGCATTACAATTTCCGCCGCTCTCTCACTTTCAATTTTTTCGGACAGACAAATCACGCGGTTTTAAGTAAGCTCCGCGTTTCGGGTCGCGAAAATCGGGAAATGGATGGAAAATCCATCGGGAAAATTGTAGGGCAGTGGTGCAGTGCAGTGATGTGGAGTTTAGTGTTTCAGGGAAGTGAAGTGCAGTGTTATTGTGCAGTGTGGTGATGCAGTTATTATAAAATTAAAATTGCATGAAAAAGTTCCTGAACCAAAATGGCAGCTGACGACGGCGAAATGGTTTGCAAACGGCAGAGCGGTTAAGGCAAAATAAGGACAGAAGTGAACATGAAAAGTGTATTGTACAATTAATATACAAGATGTGTTACCATTTTTTAGTATGCAGAAATCTTTTTTTTTTTAAAGCATGCAAAAAAAGGCGTTGAATTTTGTCCCTTTCCCACTCCATCAAGAAATATTCGTAGTGAGGAAGCCAAGCAACAAGGAAAGAGCGAGTGCTTAGCGTATCGTTGCTCTCTCGCACCAAGTGTCTCATTGCATGGTGAGGAAAGGTCTACGTGATCTTATGCTCTCTCGCTAGTGCTTCCACATGAGCTACAATGCATTTCTGCCTCACCTTATATTAATCTACCCTAAATATTTCTTTTCTTGTGCGATCCGTTTTCGTTTCGCAAATCGTTCGTTACAAATTCCCGTTTCTTTTCCGACGTACGCACAGAATCGCACAAAATATACAAATAATGGCTTCAAAGGTAAGAGACAAGAGAGTGTTTTCGTGTATTTGTAAACCCTTTGCCTTCTGTTTTCTTTTTCGTAAGTACCAACCCCATCGATTCATCTGATTGCGTTAATGAAAGTCGTGTGATCCGAAGTTTATCTGAAGTTGGACTTTAATGGATATCGCCTGGGCTAGTCTTCAATTTATGCTGAACAGTCAAAGTAAGTATGCATCAGTATCTGTTTTTTTGTTAAATATTTAGCAAGAAGACATTCGAATAGATAGGGTTGCCATTGATTTTAAACGTGATGTTCAGCATCCGCGAAGACCCGAAAAGTATGCCCCATGTCTTACCATAAATAAAAAGTGTGCTAACAACAAGGTTGCCGCAGGCGGCTTTGAACTTGAAGCAGCCTCCTAAGCCCATAATGCACTTGTATAAATTATAATAAAATTGTGATTCATGAAACGAGTTTCCGCTTCACCAACTTGAACCAATTCGATCATCTTTTGCTGCCGGCAATCTTTTTTGTTTGTGCTTGACGACAAACTTTGATTGTTTTAATTCTCTCAATTCGTAATTAATACAAATCTTCACTGTTGATAGGTTTTACTTTTTTTCGCGTTTCCTGTTTCTGGTTTTCGTAGCTTAGAAAGTGATCAAATTTAGGAATATATTTTAAGATCTTAATTTCGAAAGAACAAGAATAGCTAAACTGGATTTCTGTGGCGTCAGACGCGGCGTCGCGGCCATGGCAACCTGCCTCTTCGATCATAGCACTGCCGTTCAGTTGCTGCTGCCATTAACTGGCGAAGTCCGTTCCGCATTGATGGCGCTCTATTTAAGTTGCTCCTTTTCTAATTACCAAATGGAACATTTATTCGACTTTGACTGCCGTCTCCTTAAATTGTTGCTGATTTCTGCCTTTTATCAGCTCTATCAGTGACTCCACGTACTCTCTTTGTGTCCTTAGTTATATTTTTATATTTATATATTTTTTTGGTGTTCTGAAGGAGCTTGAGTCTTCGAAGGCGCTTGGGATTTATATATAATAATTTTAATTAAGAAAGTAAACAACTTTAAGGTATATTTTTCAAGGGTTTTATTTCTGATTTTATCAATTTCGTTCCCTAACATTTTCTGTACAAGTGACTGAAGAACCCGGGCTGGGCTTGTTGGGGGAGCCTCAACTGCTAAACCGTTTAATATCTGTGGCGGCGGAGGACGCGACGACGCTGGGTCTTGTAGCGGTATCCATCGGTGGCCGAGTAGCTGTGTGCTGGCTCAGAGGCAGCGGTGTCGTACTCAGCGGGGGCAGAGTAGGACTGAGCTGGGGCGGAGTACGACTGAGCTGGAGCAGAGTAGGAGACAGCTGGTGCGGAGGCAGCAGCGGTGTAGGTGGCCTGAGCTGGGGCAGAGTAGGACACAGCTGGGGCGGAGGCGGCAACGGAGTAGCTGGCCTCAGCGGGAGCAGAGTAGGACTGAGCTGGGGCAGAGTAGGAGACAGCTGGGGCGGAGGCGGCAGCGGTGTAGGATGGAGCGGCCTGGTAGACTGGAGCTGGGGCAGAGGCTGCTGGGGGCAGGTAGTCGTTGGATGGCAGATGGCTCACATCACGACGGTGGCGACGGAGGACGCGACGACGCTGGGTCTTGTAGCGGTATCCATCGGTGGCCGAGAAGCTGTGTGCTGGCTCAGAAGCAGCGGTGTCGTACTCAGCGGGGGCAGAGTAGGATGCAGCTGGGGCAGAGTAGGAAGCAGCGGGTGCAGAGTAGGACTGAGCTGGGGCAGAGTAGGACACAGCTGGAGCAGATGCGGCAGCGCTGTAGGATGGAGCGGCCTGGTAGACTGGAGCTGGTGCAGATGCTGCTGGGGGCAGGTACTCAGAGGTTGGTGCGGAAGCGGCTCCCTGGAAGGGGGGCAGGTAATCGTTGGATGGCAGATGGCTCACATCACGACGGTGGCGACGGATGACGCGACGACGCTGGGTCTTGTAGCGGTATCCATCGGTGGCCGAGAAGGTGTGTGCGGGCTCGGAAGCAGCGGTCTCGTACTCAGCAGGAGCGGAGTAGGATGCAGCTGGGGCCGAAGCAGCAACGGAGTAGCTGGCCTGAGCGGGAGCAGAGTAGGACTGAGCGGGAGCCGAGTACGACACAGCTGGTGCGGAGGCAGCAGCGGTGTAGGTAGCCTGAGCGGGAGCAGAGTAAGACTGAGCTGGAGCTGAGTAAGACACAGCTGGAGCAGAAGCGGCAGCGGTGTAGGTGGCCTGGGCTGGTGCAGAGTATGACTCAGCTGGTGCAGAGTAGGACTCAACTGGAGCCGATGCCTCCGCGGCGTAGGAAGCAACTGGAGCCGATGCGGCACCGTATGTGGGGGGCAGGTAGTTGTTGCTAGGTGCGGTGGCGGCCACGGCGGCGACAAAGGCGCAGATCAGCAAGAGTTTCTGCAAAAAATAAGAGAATATTTAGATCGTTGAATTAAGTTATCCTGGAGCTGTGTGTGCTGTTGTGTGTGTGTGTGTTTTTTGGGTGTGTAATCCTCTCGAGAAAGGAGCTGTAATCGTACCATTTTGCTGGGTTGGTCGGCTGTCCAGTTGATTGTAGAATGCAAATGGAAGTGATGCCTTAGCCAATGTTCTGCTGCTTATTTATATGATTCTAATCACCGGGCCAGTGCTATACCTAATTAGCATTTGGCTTCTTAATTTATGAATTTCGTATTTAGTGACACCGCCAAAACATATCCATTATAGTTTTTGCAAGCAGGTTTGCAACGGGTTTCGGCATCGGCAACGGGCGAGTCGCCACCACCGCAGCCGCCGCAGCCGCCGCGTGTGTGTGAGCCGGCGTACCGGGGGTGCCCCTTTCTCCCCGCAAGAACTCGTCAATGTAGCTTCCATTTAATAACCCAAATTGCCCCAATCCTCACAATCGAAGATCAGGTTCCATTATTACGTACATCTGCACTCGCGAATTTCTCTCAGACGAACGCGTGCCGCTGCATGCTGATCCACCAGCTCCATTTGCTGAATTACTTATAATGAAATTTCGGTTTAATCAACTGTGAATTAATCGAGTTCTCTGACTCTCCAATAAAAAACTTGATAATGAGTAGTCGGATGCATCAGAGAAAAGGCCAAAAATAAAAAAATAGAAACACTCGTTCCGTTTTTAGATACCTCAAAAAAGATGCCAAAAAATAGCAACAAAGAATTCGTGCGCACGGAAATAAATCACGATCTGATCTCAATGTCGAAAGAGAATCAGCAAAGAGCTGACCTGACTGTCAAAGACGATTATTTGTTGTCTACACCGTTGCCTACACACTCTTGAAATATTTATACAGGCATTAAAACAGCTGAAATTAAACTAGATCAAGTATATTTATTTAAAGTTAATTTATTTACAATTTAATGGCGCTTTAAAGACCATAGTTAGTTTTCCTGGAGCTGCTTCCATAAAGTCTCTTCATAAAAGAAATATACCACAATATGTTAGTGGTGCAAATCTGGCGGAAGCGCTTATTGAAGTAGACTCGAAGTACGACAGATATAATTTTCTAAAGTGCTCCCAAAAAGTTTACTCCTCTTTCGAGTATCCATCCACCTCTGCTTTCAAGAACTATCAGCGAATACTAAGAGCGCGTGTTAAGAACGAGCGACATCAGCGAGATGTTACAGCGATCGCTAACATCCTTTTAACAAAGAGCAGTAACATACTGTTAACGTGTAATGTTAAAATTACATTTTTATGGAAAACTAATTTTGATAAAAACCAACAAATATTTATGGATTCGTTATTGTATTATTATATTTCTTCAAGGAAAAAGGAAAAGTATTCTTATAATAAAATTTGTACTCCAAAATGAGTACAAATCGATCACTTGGTGGAACAGATCTCGCATGGTTTAATGACGACGGATCACAACACGCTTGTGGGTCTTGTAACGGTAGCCATCATCGGCCAAGACGTGAGCGGGAGCAACCTCGATGTTGTTGGCAACGGGAGCCAAGTACTCGTTGGAAGGAGCGACGGCCTCCTGGACGGGGGGCAGGTACTCGTTGGACAGCTCGTTGACATCACGACGGTGGCGACGGATCACCACACGCTTGTTGGTCTTGTAACGGTAGCCATCATCAGCCAAGACGGTATCGACGGCAGGGGCCAAGTACTCGTTGGAAGGAGCGACGGCCTCCTGGACAGGGGGCAGGTACTCGTTGGACAGCTCGTTGACATCACGACGGTGGCGACGGATCACCACACGCTTGTTGGTCTTGTAACGGTAGCCATCATCAGCCAGGACGGTATCGACAGCGGGAGCCAAGTACTCGTTGGAAGGAGCGACGGCCTCCTGGACAGGGGGCAGGTACTCGTTGGACAGCTCGTTGACATCACGACGATGGCGACGGATCACCACACGCTTGTTGGTCTTGTAACGGTAACCATCATCAGCCAGGACGGTATCGACAGCGGGAGCCAAGTACTCGTTGGAAGGAGCGACGGCCTCCTGGACAGGGGGCAGGTACTCGTTGGACAGCTCGTTGACATCACGACGATGGCGACGGATCACCACACGCTTGTTGGTCTTGTAACGGTAGCCATCATCAGCCAAGACGGTATCGACGGCAGGGGCCAAGTACTCGTTGGAAGGAGCAACGGCCTCCTGGACAGGGGGCAGGTACTCGTTGGACAGCTCGTTGACATCACGACGATGGCGACGGATCACCACACGCTTGTTGGTCTTGTAACGGTAGCCATCATCAGCCAAGACGGTATCGACGGTAGGGGCCAAGTACTCGTTGGAAGGAGCGACGGCCTCCTGGACAGGGGGCAGGTACTCGTTGGACAGCTCGTTGACATCACGACGGTGGCGACGGATCACCACACGCTTGTTGGTCTTGTAGCGGTAGCCATCATCAGCCAAGACGGTATCGACGGCAGGGGCCAAGTACTCGTTGGAAGGAGCGACGGCCTCCTGGACAGGGGGCAGGTACTCGTTGGACAGCTCGTTGACATCACGACGGTGGCGACGGTAGACAACGCGACGGTTGGTCTTATAACGGTAGCCATCAGCGGCGAGCTCATGGGCTGGGGCAGCCTCAATCTCGACTGGAGCAGGAGCGGCAATCTGGATGGGAGCAGCGACCTGGACTGGGATGGGAGCAGGAGCGGCCACCTGTTGTGGGGGCAGGTACTCGTTGGAAGGAGCGGCAGCCTGCTGAGGGGGCAGGTACTCGTTGGAGGGCAGATGGCTCACATCACGACGGTGACGGCGGAGGACCACACGCTTGTGGGTCTTGTAACGGTAGCCATCATCGGCCAGCTCATGGGCAGGTGCAGCCTCAGCCTGGACCTGGACAGGGGGCAGGTAGTCGTTGCTGGGGGCAGCGATGATCTGAGCCTCCTGCACCACGGGGGGCAAGTACTCGTTGGATGGCAGGTGGCTGACATCAGCGGCCACAGCTGCGATCACGGCAAAAGCGATCAGGAAGAATTTCTGCAAGAAACACACAGGAAACACGATTGAGAATAGTCCTTTAAAGTCGTCGCGTTTTGCTCATCTCCAAAATGTGTTTGGAGGGTAACGAAATGTTTGTGGTATGATTTGCCCTAAGGCTTACACTGCGTACCATCGTGTCCGTTGAGCTGCTTGTTCACACCAGTAAAACCGAAACTCTAATGTTGAATACGCAGAACCTTTTGGTATTTATACAAATTCTCTGCTCTTCGCCACCGCCACATTACACAGCTCGCAGATTTTGCGTTCGACGCTGACGGCAAAGCCGACGTCGCAGCCCACGCTCGGGCCCATCTTCGGCCGTGCTGTAAATTTTCGCACGGCTTTTGGCCGCTGCCTCTGCAGAGGTGAGTTCTAACCCGCTCGGCTAACCCGCCGCTCAGAGGCTGCGACGGCAGCAGCGACGCTTACATTTGCACAAAAAGCTAAAAGCAAGAGAAGCTAGCAAATGGAATTAAAATGTTTAATGGGCAAAATCGTTCGCACGGATTCTCTTAATTGTTTTATTTAAGCAGATGCAAAAGATTTTTGATGGACACCAACGTTTTGGACAACTCGAGCGCTCACACACACAAACACACTCGTTGGAGCCAGCCCAAAACAACTTTGCTCTCTGATGTTGTTTACACCTCTTTGTGGCCTGTTTGGGGGGGGGCTGTGGCTGAGTCTTTGTTCCATTCAAGACGCCGCCAAAAAATATTGCGCTCGATTCGGATTCAAACGATGAGTTTTTCAATTCAATCAAATTCGCTCACTTCCATAGCATCCGCCACAGCAGCATCTGCTCATTGTTGGTTGTCATGTCGTCGTAGTCGTTGCTGTTCATTAATCAACAAATAGGAACTGCCAAACTACGAGCCATTCAGTTAATTGTGCTTTTGCCTGAGAATTAGGCAACTTTTTGTAAGCTTTATGCCGGATATCGAATGTTCCGCCTATTGAGATTATTCCAAGAATTTGAATAAACAAAAGAGTGAAATATTTGTGGCGTATCCTGTATCAATATTATGATGTTTTCAGGTGTAACCATAAATAACCGATTGGAAAGGAATAAATATGTCTTTCTGTGATTTTATGTACAATTTTACATTCACGACAAATATTGGGACCCACGGCAACTGTCCATCTGTTCATCTGATCTTTGTCAAAAATATGCCCACACGCTCTCAATTAAACGCTCTCCCACCAATCGACTTGCTAAAAGTTAAAGCAAACATTCAAGCAGCAATTGTCTTATGCAGCTGGTAGCCCATAGCCCATGATTAATGAACCCCTTCCAAGTAGGAGAAAGATTTGGCAAATGTTTGAGCAGATCGACAGCCATGAGAAGCAAGGCTCGTTAGAGATGCTAAGAACTAATCGGTTCCGTATAATCGAAGGATAAACAATGTCTAACACGCTGCTGATTGATTCTGTGAAATAAAACAGCGTACATTATGTGTGTATGATTTTTTATTAAAATAAATGTACATTGCTGAAAGTCGAGGTCGCTGGGGTAGCCCAACTGGTAGTCCAGTCAGAGTCAGAGCTGACGAGGAGGAGGATTCTGGTGATTTTGATGGATGGTTGCCACGCGCCACAGTTCGGCGCCTCTAGACGAGAGTTGAACCGCAGAGAAGAGCTCTATGGAGTGGTGTTTATAGCACCAGTTTTAGCTAATTAACTAGCGTCATAAAAAAAACATGATCAAATAACAATTGTATATATATTTTATTCCATTTTGCAAATGCATTAAGATTTAGAGTCTTACATTTCTAGTTTTGTTGGCTGAAACAATGGAGTAAACCATTTCATTTCCTGTGTGTGTTCTGTGCACACACAAAACTAGACTCACAATCTACTATTAACGAGCAAAATTTATGACTTGCTAATTTACATTTTGAATCTCCCGCCAAAATCTGCGAGACTGACTGCTCTATTCTGGGCCTGTTCTATTGTCATCCACGCTGGTCCCATAAACGTTCTACACGCACATGTGCTGCTCGCCAGTCAATAGATCAAGATCAGGCGACTGACCAACGCATTATTGTCATCAGCATTATTGTATTCCATCAGCAGCATCTTCGAATTGGCTGCCCGGGAAGCCAGACCTGGTCTCTGAACACTTAAAAGTGCCATTTCGGAATTGATGTTGATGCTAAGATGGCAAAAATATGCAAATTAGTGAATGGCAACCACCAGTCTGTGTTCCCCCCCTCAGAGAATGACAAAAAAAAGTCTCATAATGGTCACAGACACCATATAAATATTGTCAAACTCTGTTTGATAAGTGAACGTGGGGCCCCACACAAAAAATTAGCGTAGATTCCACAAATAGAAACTAGGAGAGCGGAACAGCGAAAGGAGATCTGCTGGGATTGTACCAACCATCCGATTCGATTGGATGGATAATGGATGAGTTTTTGCTCAAAACTGAGCGCTCCCCTTTTCGAGACTTAAGTGTGTTGGGTCTTAGTTTTATTTGGATCTTTTTTGCATAATCCCAGTGGCCGCGTCGCTCTGTCTAACAAAACCCATTTCGCTGGAGTCTTAATTTATGCAAATTCTATTCTAATTAATATTAAAAACCATTTGATTTTGGAGCTTAGAAGGCGGCAAACTTCTCTCTCTCTCTCTCTCTTTGTTTATGGCCACCAGACACTTACACGCGCTAGTTTTGTTTTCAGTCTTTAATATACCCTTACCAAAAGTAAATTTAAATTAGTTTAGTGGCACATTTTGGGCACTTAGAATACTCTTTTAGAGCATTAATTCGTCGTCTTGTTTAGCTTTTGAACCCCTACCCCTTTGCCAAGTACACCTTTTAGTCTTTTATGATGAACTTTTGGCTTTTGTTTTAGCCGTTTTGGATGCTCTTTTTTTTCCCAAAAAAACTTAAATGTATGATAAATCATTCGGGAAACCAGTTCTCGGTCGGCGACTAGAAAGTGGCCCCCATCGCCATGCAGCGCATCGCCACAAACAAGACAAAAACGAAAACCAAAATTAGAAGAAAAAAAAACCTAAGAAGATGGAAAGAACAAAAAGAAATAGAAACAAAATCTTGCGCACACTTTTAACGCACGGCTCCATCAATAATGTATACGCGTGGCAGCCAGTCGATATTTATTTAGTTTTTTTGGCAAGTTCCTTTCCAAACGCTTGGCAATGTAAAACCAAATTTGATTTTGATTCTTTGTGGCCAGCGGCTCTTTGAGTGGCTTGAAGTGCGTTTGAGGCTTGAAATTATATTTTTATATGTTGGCTGTCTAAAATTAATTATGTGCGCCTGAGAATTAATCATCTTTTTGGGAGCCCTCATTCTGGCTATGTTTAACATATGACGCAAGGCGGAATTACATGCAACAGTTCTGATTCCCCCAGCCCCAAATTGACTTACAATCACAGGGTACACAAATATCAGGCTGTAACTCACAGCTGGAGCCGCATTAAAAGCCACAAAAGAAGCGGGCGGACGGATCATTGAACTCCACAGCTCTACATCAGCCCATCTCCACGCTGAAGCTGCTCCCCACACACTCGCTCTGCATAGCTACAACACGTATCCATGTATATTCTGCCCGAAATTCGCACAGATTGTTCCCGAAATTTAGAACTCTGTAATCAGCAGCGGCAGAGCCACGAGCCGCGGCTCTCAGCTGGGTCAGGTTTGGTTTTTTGGTTTTGCTGTAGATCTCTCGGCAGTTCCCTTTTTTTGTTAATTGTATGCAAAGCTGCCCACTCTCTGGTTGTTCTTTGCTCTAGAGAGTTTTGTGTGCTTGCCATTAATTATTTGAATTTAATGCTACTTGTACCTGTGGACTCACTTAAGTGAGTTGTGAACTGAACTGATTTATGGTACGAACAACTAAGAGCTTTCTATTAGCTGCAGCTGCAGGCTGATTGGATTGGGTCAGAAGCCTCCAGCTGTGACCTAAGGCTAAACGGAGATAATGGACACATTTGATGGAGGAGACTGCAGTCCAATATTGACATTGATTGGCGAATACAACCGCCATTGTGGTGTGGGCACCGCCCTCGTTGCCAAAAACCAACCAAAACTTGTCTTACATACCCCAAAACTTGGCCAGGTCAATACACACTCAAAGAGGGGCTGTCTGCGGCTGTTGCTTTACCATTGAAACTGTGTTTTGTTTGTCGGTTTGTGCTGCTGCTCCATGCAGTCGCATGTCTCTCTTCACTTCCCCATGAAACAATAGATTTTATTTTGATTTTTTAGACTTTAGTTTATTGGATTTGCATGAGAATCGAATCTAAATTATCGCATAAATTCATCTCAACAATTCATTTTAGCTCCATGTGTTCGTCATTTCCTCTCCCCTCCAGCCCCGCCTCCACCCTGCTGCTGTATGTATCTTTTATCTTCTTTTTTTTTTTTGCTATTGAAACGCTGAACTAGTTTCTTTTCCTTATGGATCTTAATGTTATATTTCCATTTGAAATAAGAGCAGTCTAAAGTTATTGTTTTTCTATGTTTGATGCCTAAACTGGTCCAACACGTGTGTTGTTTGCATAATAATCTTTTATGATGGAATTTGTCACAGAATTCGGGAGTTGTTTTGCTCCTCAAAGTAATATTTACTCAGCGGGAAAATAAAAAAGAAGTTCGAAACTTACCAAAAAAAATGTACAAAATTCCTTAAGCCCCTAAACTTTGTCACAAATTTCGTGCTGGCCAGTGTAAAGCTCAAAATGAAAGCTAAATTATATTTTTAAAGCTTTAAGCCTAAGCCCCAGCCGGAAACGGAAGTCTCACCGATCAATCTTGATGGCCTGCAAGTATGCCACATAATTTTCGTTGACTGCCACTTGCGGCAACTGCTGCTAAGTATAATTTATTTTTTGAGTATTTATAACATTAATTTTGTGCACAAAATTCAGTACTCAAATGCGTGTTTGGGCTTGGCGTAGTGATAGCCATCCTCGCGGTAGTCCGTCTGGTACTCCGAGGCAGCTGTGCCCAAGTCAGAGTCATCCTCCCTTGAGCTGCTGCCTGAATTATTGGGCGCCGCCAGATACGCAGCTTGTGGCGAGCTGGCCGCAAAGCCTAGTCTGAAACTGGGATCTGTATCGTCATCTGCATCATCATCGTCAGCCACCAGCACGGAGCGTTGATTGCCATTGACAGAGACCAAAGCGCGTTGATGGCCATGATGGCCGTCGCTGTAGAAATTTCCATCGATAATGTTTGTGTCCTGCTGGTTGCCCAGCGCATTCGTTGGTCCCTGCAGATGCGGCTGACCAAACACATTGCCATTGAGCACGTTTAGGCCTTGGTAATTGGAACGATTACGTGGACGTCCGGAGCGCAGGCGTGGCACCAGCTGACCCGCTGCCAGTGGGGCGCCCAAAGCGGGATTAAATTGATTCTGAAGCGGTGCCTGTGCAGCTCCAAGCTGTGCACCAAGCGGAGCATTCGCTTGATTCGGTGCCTGACCAGCTGCCAGTTGAGCGCCCAAAGCGGGATTTCCGAATTGATTTGGCTGCTGGCCTCCGAATTGTGCATTGGGATCGAACTGGTTCTGGAAGGGTGCTTGGCCAGCAATGGGTGCCTGTCCAGCGGCTGGACGTTGTGCGCCAAATGAGGGATCGAAGGGAGCGCCAGCAGCGGCTCCAGGAGCTTGACCCGCGGCGCCCAACTGTGCGCCGAAGGAGGGATCAAACTGATTCTGGTTGGGAAATCCCTGAGCAGCAGCCAGTTGAGCACCGCCAGCGGGGAATCCTGGACCACCTGCTGGAAATCCTGCAGCGCCCAGCTGCGCAGCCAGCGAGGGATCGACGAAGAAGTTATTCCTGCCATAGCCGCCGACGTAGCCGCCTGGTTTCTGTGGCCGCTGGCCATTGCCCTGCACGGCCAACTGTCCAGCGGCGGGAATGGGGCCTGCTCCTTGATTGACAGGCAGTCCAGCACCGGGAGCCAGGGCACTGGCTGGAAGCTGAGCGCCAAGTGGATTCGACGGACCACAGCCCGGAGCAACATTGCCAGGAACTCCCGTAAACTGGCAGTTGGGCAGGAAACCAACTCCGGTAGGGGCTTGAGCTCCTGTGGGTGCCTGAGCTCCAGTTGGAGCCTGAGCTCCAGTAGGAGCCTGAGCTCCAGTAGGAGCCTGTGCACCGCCCGGCAATTGCTGTCCTCCTGGCGGATCTGGACGAATGAGCGAGTAAAGCTCCGAGTCCTGCGACTGAACGTTGATTTGGGTGTGAGTGTGAAACACAGAGTTCGGGGCATTGGCGTAGGTGATGCGATGGGGACGACGACGCCTGTAGACGACTTGGCTGGCCACTGGGGTGAACAGATCGCCGCCATAATCCGTGCGGACTTGCGGCGTTTCGTGCTTGTAGTGGATGTGCTCGGTCTTCACCTCCGGCTTCTTGTCGTAGTGATGAAAGTGATCCACGCGCTGTTTCTTGTGCTCCTCGTGGTGGTTGTGCTGCTGCTCCTTGTGGTGTGGTGGTTCCTCCTCCTTGTGGTAGACGACACGCTCACTGGTGTGCTTCTCCTTCTTGTAGATGGGTTCATCATCCTTTTCCTCAGACGGCGGCAGATAATGATCGTCATCATCATCCTTCTCCTTCTCGTGGTGATGCCGCTGATGTTTGTGGTGTTTCGCAAGGCAAACATCCGCCAGACAGGCAAATGCCAGAACGCACAGCAGCAGGACACACAGGAGTTTCTGTGGAATGAAAGTAAGAGAAGGATTAGTCGAGACTTCAGCTGTTGAGCTTCTCTCATGGATCTCTCACCATTGTGCAAATGCCAGTGAGGCTTAACCGCTCTAGTTGCAACTTTTATACAATGTTTTGGGATGCATTCGAGCCCCCGAAAACCCAAAGAAACTGAAACCGAAACCGAAACCGACACCGAGTAACCGCGAAACCTGTTGGCGGGAGCGTGAGAAATTCATTTGATGCTTTATGGTGACCCATTTGTTCTCATTGAATGCCCGCAATTTAAATTCAAATGCACAAAAGTGCGCCGTAAATTTGTCATCGAGATCAAAGCGCTAGAATTTATCGAGCTAAGTGCGCACCACACACGGGTGGCTGGCTTCATTCCATTTCTCAGTGATAAGTGGGGTTTTTGATCCCAGATCCAAATCAAAGAGAGAGAGAGAGCGAGAGAGCCTCTATGATAATTGTGTTGGTAATCAATTTCTAGCTTAATGTTTGGCCAAACAAAAATGTGCATTTAAAATGGATAAATTCAAGCTTTTATTTTTTGAATTTTTTATGTATTTTTTCTTATGTTTTTGCTTGCATTTTTGTATATTTATTTGAATTTGTTGTACATTTATTGGCATTTTTGCATATTTATTTTATTTGTTTTTACACAAATAAATTGATTAATTAATTGATTCTTTATTTCATTCACTTGTGTCTTGTTTTTGTCTCAGACATTAATGAAATGAATACATAAATGCATGAGAATTAGATATAAATCTATAGATAAATCGCTGAAATAATTGTTTATAAATTCCTCCCATAAATTTCGCTTCAAAATAAATAAATTCTACCCCCACAGAAAGTAAAAGTTCCTCAATTCTAATCATTTATTTTTCTTTGTCGTTTATCAAAGGATTTGCAGCTTAAGCACGGTGCCTGAAGACGCGACGACGCACTGTCCTGTAGCGGTAGCCCTGGCTGGACTGGGTCTGGGTCTGGGGCTGGCTGTAGTCGTAGCCGGAGCGAGCTGGCGCTGGGGCAGAGGCAGCAGCCTCGAAGGCTGGTGCTGGCTCAGGAGCCTGGAAGGAGGGAGCAGGAGCAAAGGACTGCACGGGAGCAGAGGCAGCAGCGTGGTGGTGGAGCTGCACTGGAGCAGGAGCTGCAGGAGCTGCAGGAGCTGCAGGAGGCACATAGCTGCGGACTGGAGCGGGTGCAGAGGCAGCAGGCTGAAAGACTGGAGCGGGAGCGGGAGCTGGAGCTGGAGCAGCAACTGGTGCGGGTGCGGAGGCGGCAAAACGATGCTGCTGCTGCACGGGTGCTGGCGGCACGTAGCTGCGGACGGGAGCTGGAGCAGAAGCAGCTGGCTGGAAGACTGGAGCGGGAGCAGCAACTGGCTCAGGAGCAGGAGCCGGAGCCGGAGCGAAGGTCTGGACAGGTGCAGAGGCGGCAGGTGCTGGAGGCACGTAGCTGCGGACTGGTGCTGGTGCAGATGCTGCTGGCTGGAACACGGGTGCTGGAGCTGGAGCAGCTACTGGCGCCGGAGCAGAGGCAGCAAAATGATGCTGCACCTGAGGAGCCACATAAGACCTCACTGGAGCGGGTGCGGGAGCGGCATAGTTGTAGCCACTATCGGCAGCCACGCAGCCAACCAAAGCCAAAGCCAAGACAAGGAATTTCTGTAGGAAAAAGGGAACAAAACGATAATCCCCAGGCCAAAGATTGTGGCGGTAGATCCTTACCATTTTCGCGATCTGTTTGCTGATGGGGCAACGAATCGAATAATATCTTCTAGCTGTGGCTCCTGTACTTTTATACGAGTCGCCGAAACGTCAAACTCTCGAAACGGAAGTGCTGCCATGTCATAAATCAATAGAACCCAAGCCCAAGAAACCAAAAACCAAAACGAAAACGTTTTTCTTCGCAATTTGTAGTCGCAAAAATTTGTTTAATTAGCCAAATACCTTCGACAGCGGCACCACCAGATGTGTGTGGCTGGGCTCCACTCGGACTCAGAGCTACGGAGTGTTTGGTGTTTAAAAACTCTCATTTGTTAGCCTGTCAATTGGCAGAGAACCGACTGTACGACTCTACGCTATGCGCTTATAAATATTCATAAGGATACAGCATTATTATTGTCACAAACCTGATCTGATATTTTTGCCAGTTGCTTTATGTTTGAGTAAATGTTTATCTAACTCGATTAAGCAACACAACCATGCACTGAAATAGAGATACTATACTATTAATAGCAAAACAGTAGCTGACGCTCTCTCTTGAGGGAGTTGTTGACAAAAGCCAAAGCAGGCCGCGCGAATTTTGATCAGTTCTCAGCTCATAAACCATTAAAACATAAACTTTAGGCATTAACTTCATGCTGCGTGTTGAGCACACAAGTTAATGCCAAAGCTAATGACTTAATGTGCCAATTGATAGATTGATTGATGAATCGTTGGATCAGAGCGAAGGTTCAAGAGCAAAACGGATCATTTCCAGTGCCAAAACACTTCCCAGAGTCTGCGTCTTCTCCCCCTCGAAAGGTTAATGCCTGCTGTGGCGCTTCTTAACATAATCTTGTAAACTTTTTGTTGGATTTGGCACAACAAATTGGGACACATATAATATAATATTCGTTGATGTTCTCTGCGCCTTCTTTATTGTCTGATGATTAATTCTGGAATATGCAAATCCGTTCTGGGTCGCGTCAGCACTTTGAACATTTATTTTTGCATTTCTCTGTTTGGTTTCTGTTCGGGAATTAGCATTAGAATATACTTTGCGGTGTGGGTTAACCCACAAACCAGTCGTCGCGTCATTGTCTTGCCTGGATGGAATTTTTTGCATTAGATTTCTTCGGGCTCCTCGTACTGCTCGCTGAGGGTGGATGCAGCGCCCTGGGGTGGCAGATAAGTGCGTCTGGGTGCAGCCACGGAGATTAGCTGGGGACGTGCAATGGAGACCACTCTCGGGGCGGGTGGCAGATACGTGCGCTGTGGCAACACCACTGGACGCTGCTGCACCACAACCTGGGGACGGGAGATGATCTGATGCTGGACCCTCGGTACGGAGATTACCTGAGGAGCAGGCCTGTAAACTGAAACCACTCGCGGTGCAGGAGGTATATAAGTGCGCTGTGGCACCACCACAGACTGTATAACAGGACGCTGCTGCACCACAGAGTGAATCACAGGACGCTGCTGCACCACAGAGTGAATCACAGGACGCTGCTGCACCACAGAGTGAACCAAAGGCTGCTGTTGCACCACAGACTGAATTATGGGACGCTGCTGCACCACGGAGTGAATCAGCGGCTGCTGCACCACCTGCACCTGCGGACGAGAGACAATTTGCTGCACTTGCACCTGTGGCGGCAGATAAGTCCTCGAGAGCGCTGTTGCATCAGCGAGGCCCAGGAGCAGCAGGCTCGAGGCCACAGTTAAAGCCACAAAAATAACGCGCTGAAGGGGGAAGAAGATACATTTAAATAACTGCCAGCGGTAGCTCCAGAAAATAAATACACACCACCATGTTGATCCAGTCGAAGTCGAACAATTGAACTGTTTTGTTTGCCTGCTTGATATTTGGTATTTATAAGACGCTCCAGACAAATACTTAGTATAGATATGGCAGATGCCACTGCGACTCACTTTTAAGAAGCAGGTTAGAAGGTGTTGGCCCCACAGAGATTTGCAATAAAACAATTTTTGAGGGGGGAAGAAACAATATATGAAAGATCTGGAATGGAAGCAGCGAAACACGTCAATAAAAAGCCATTAAATCTCATTTCAGAGCCATTGTTTCACTTTTTGAAAGTACCCAGAATAAATGTCTGGAGATTAATGTAAGGCCCATGGGAGGATGCTCTGATTAATTCTCATAACAATAAGAAATATTATCAGGGAATTGTTTACTCTGTTGTGGCTGTTGCAGCACTTTCTATACCCAAATATGCTCTTACTTTCAGCAGCTAAGGAACGATGAAATGAATTGTGTTGTACATTTAAGGCCCATAAGTTAGTTGGGAGACAAGTATTTCTGGTTGTTGGTGCTGTTAAAACGCTCTCCATTCAAGCGAACTTGTATCAAAAATGTTCAAATAAATCGTTGTCAATTGTGCCCGCCATAAAAACAAGATCAGCGTAATGTAACTTTCAAGCATTTCAAGATTTGTGCATTAAAGTTGTTGTTTTGATGCAGAAAATGCCCAAAAATTGCATATCTACGTGGGTTTTACTTGAAATCTACAGAAGAAAGACTTATAAACTGCATACTTTCAGGCTTTAGAGCGTATACATTCTGGCAAAAATATATTTTTAAACAAGAGGCGAATGATAGCCATAGGGAGAAATCTCAGCTGCAGTGGAGGTTGCTCCTGGAATGGGGCTCCTTTAGGGGTTCAGAGAACTATTCTCAATAATAGATTTAACAATAATTTATATACGTAATTTATTTATACATTTCTTGCACAGATTTGTGACAAATTATTACCAAATTTAAGTGCTCTTAATGCTGATTTATTCCCAGCCTGAAAGACAATTGTTGTTGTATTAATAATGAACTTTTATTTTTTTTTTTATGTTGTTTTTATCGCATAAATCGCATAAAGCTTGCCAAACAATCATCCAGTGAGTATTTTAACGTTGGCTTCCGTTGCCTAGAAGCTAATTGATGTTCACAACTCACCGTAGCCGTCTCCCCACCCTGCCTGAAGATTAATGTACAGCATTAGTTGCTGTGTCTACTATGTTGGGGGGGGGCAGCTTTAATGAACAAATTTTATCGAAATTATTTGCATTAAGCGAGGCATGAATTTTGTGTGCTTTTATATCAGGAGAAGTCACAAACAGAGAAATATTAATAGAATCGAAACTTGTTCTTAATTATGCCTAATATGAGAATTTATATGTATACACTAAATTGTAAAGCATTCATTAAACTGGTTTCGTTTCGATTCGTTTCGGGGATGGGGAATAACCAATATCGGAATGGGTTTTACGATGCCCGATTCTACGATTTTGTGCAACTTCCGATGTGCAGCATCCTACGCATGGGTTTCATTTGTTTATTCCTATTTTGGTTATACCTTAAAAAAGATACATTTATTATGATATTTTTATGTTTGTGTATTCGGGCGTCAAACCAGTTCACCGTTGTGTGGCATTTACTCCAAGATCCATCTAATTAAAGCGCCAACAAAAAGTGATTTTCTGATGAAGTAATCAGAGCTAAATTTATATTTATATTAAGCTAACGAATGAGCGCTGAGAACTCATTTAAATGCCGGAAACATTGAGGTAGCAACCGCTAGACTTGGGTCAATAGACACACAGCGAACCCCTCCGAACAAATTGGCCTGAAATATGAGTCCGCTAACCGTAAGCCAGCCATTTAGCGTGAGTAAACGCTCGTCTCGCAAATTTCCCAAGTGACTACAGCATAACGTATTTTGATGATCAGTCGATCGATAGACGGCTGCGATTTAACGCGTGTGTTTGTCTCAAAGATACGCCCTAAAGATTGCGTAATAAATTAAGAGAGATAACAACAAAAAAATCCCCTCAAATCTCTATATAAAGAATAGCATAAAATTATAAATTACGCTTAGTTCAACGATCGACCTAGCCTGGGGAGGGAGGAACTTTGGGCCAAACATTGAGCTTTGTTGGAGAAAAAAAATACTCGTATAATGATGCATTGGAGACAATTAATTTTGGGTAATCAATTTGGCTAACGGCATTAAATTCCACATGCGATAAAAGTTGCAAATTTGTTTTAATTAAATCTAAATTTAATTGAAAAACAAAGCCTGCCAAATGTCCGAAAAATCAATTTAGGAGCAAGTATTTTTTGTTGCTTGCGTAAGCAGAAATAACAGGAATCCAAGCGAACAGTGGGTCAGGAGCATGAGGGAATGTGGGTCCCACCAGGTGAAGTCAAGGCAAAGGTCAGTGAAGAAGGGAACTGACTGCATCATCAACCGGTTGGAGGCCGCAGTTGATTCACAGATCTCTGGATGGATGGAGGACATGCCATGAAGGTCGGACCTTGGCTTACCACAGCTGCACTGCCGTGAGTAATTGCTACACTTAGCAGCGAGAGAGAGAGAGAGAGAGAGAGATCGAGAGAGCGCGAGAGATCGAGAGAGCGCCTTCATTTCAAGCGGAACTTTTTGTGATTTTTGGGGAATTTATGCAAATCTTTGAATGCTCTCATAAATAAAACATTCTTTGAGGCCTTTTCTTGTGGAATGGCAACACATATAAATGCGAAATTAATTTATGCCCAGAACCAAGGCGGACTCCAGCCAGCTTAGATTAATTTCTGTGGAAGAAAGAAGTGCCATTGTCTATGTCGTTAAGTGCCAAGTGGCTCCATCATCGCGATAGGCGCGACATCTGAGGGTATGTCTGTCTGGCTGTCTGCTGGTAATCGATTTGTTCTACAAATATTTGCCAAAAATTATCAAGCATATTTGCTCATACTCTCCTAACTATGATCAGATTCCCCGATCCCCCAGACACAACTAGTGAATATTTCACCGGTTTTTCTTGAATTTTAATTTTAAAATAAAAGTTCTTTTGGAAACCACTCACGAACCGCAGACAGTTAGTTGTCGCTGGTCTCTAAGTTATTATATGTCTAGATATATTTTTGGGGAGTTTGCTTTGTGTTTTTTGGTGCTTTTTCTTTCTTTATTAGCCATGTTTTTATCAAAGTCCATCCCGATTCATATTAAATACAAGCTCATTTACGTTTTTTGCATATTTTTTTGGCTCGGTTCTTTTTTTTTTCAACTTTATTTTTGGGTTGAAACTACTAAATTTGTTGGGCTGTTGTATTCGTGGTGCTAAAATGTATAACGCCTGGAATCTGACAGAGAACGAGATGAGTTTTTATGGGTGTCGTTCACGGACAGATCGGCCGAGGCAGCGACAGCGACCAGAGAAAGAGCGTCAGCAGCCGGTTAGCCAGCATCAAGCAGGTTCTGTTGAGTTTTTCGGGGCAGCTCTGTCGAGAATCTTCTGCCGTAAAAAACATTTTTGGGCCCATCCTGAGGCGCTGAACTATAAATAATTGCCGATGCGCGGTGCTACGCCACAGTCACATTTCTGCACTCGTGTGGATTTGATTCTGAGCAAAAAATGGTAAGCAAAGCGATTGGATAGCAAGGATACCATTGGATGGATTTTAAATAAAGAAAAAACTGTGAAAAGTGAACATAAACCGTGAAAAATTGTGAAATATAGAACCATCGCCGGGAGTGGATTAAAATCTTACTTGATAATCTCATCATGTGATCTTTGATGGTTTCATTTTGCAGAAACTTCTCATCGCTCTCGCCCTGGTGGCCGTTGCCAGTGCAGATGTCTCCCATCTGTTCTCGCACAGCAACAATCTGCAGGAGGATGGCTACGTCTACGATCCACCATCGAATCCAATTGTGATCGATGTGCCATACGTGCCCAAGGAGTCGGCACCACCAACCGTCATCTATCAGGCGCCCAAGCCCACGCCTCCCCGCCCCGTGTACACCTCTCCCCCAGCAAAGGTCTACACCACAGCTGCCCCAGCCAAGGTGTACACTCCAGCTGTTCCCGCTGGTGACCTGAAGGAGGATGGCTACCATTATGGCGAGCCATCGATCAAGTTCGAAACCTACGAGAAGCCCGTGGAGACTGCACCTGCACCAGTGTACGTCAAGCCCGTGGCACCCAAGGTCGAGTACCTGCCCCCAGCACCCGTGAAGAAGGTTGTGTACACTCCTCCTCCACCACCACCAGCGCCGGTTAAGAAGGTCGTTTACACTCCTCCTCCACCACCACCAGCACCCGTGAAGAAGGTTGTGTACACTCCACCACCACCACCGGTGTACGTGAAGCCCGCAGCACCCAAGGTCGAGTACCTGCCCCCTGCACCAGTGAAGAAGGTGGTCTACACTCCTCCTCCACCACCACCGGCACCTGTCAAGAAGGTTGTCTACACTCCTCCCCCAGCACCGGTTAAGAAGGTTGTGTACACTCCTCCTCCAGCACCAGCACCAGCTCCAGCTGGCATCCTGAAGGAAGACGGCTACCACTACGGAAAGCCTTCGGTCACGTTCGAGAGCTACGAGAAGCCCGCTCCAGCTGTTGTTGTCAAGAAAGTTGTGACTCCCGCACCAGTCTACGTGAAGCCCGAGGCTCCAGTCTACGTGAAGCCCGAGGCTCCAGTCTATGTTAAGCCCGAGGCTCCAGTCTATGTTAAGCCTGTTGCACCAAAGGTTGAATATCTGCCTCCTGCACCCGTGAAGAAGGTCGTGTACACTCCTCCCCCACCACCACCAGCACCCGTGAAGAAGGTTGTGTACACTCCACCACCACCACCGGTGTACGTGAAGCCCGCAGCACCCAAGGTCGAGTACCTGCCCCCTGCACCAGTGAAGAAGGTGGTCTACACTCCTCCTCCACCACCACCGGCACCTGTCAAGAAGGTTGTCTACACTCCTCCCCCAGCACCGGTTAAGAAGGTTGTGTACACTCCTCCCCCACCACCACCAGCACCCGTGAAGAAGGTTGTGTACACTCCACCACCACCACCGGTGTACGTGAAGCCCGCAGCACCAAAGGTTGAATATCTTCCCCCTGCACCCGTGAAGAAGGTCGTGTACACTCCTCCCCCACCACCACCGGCACCCGTGAAGAAGGTCGTGTACACTCCTCCTCCACCACCGGTGTACGTGAAGCCTGCTGCACCAAAGGTTGAATATCTGCCCCCTGCACCCGTGGAGAAGGTCGTGTACACTCCTCCTCCACCACCAGCGCCGGTTAAGAAGGTCGCTTACACTCCCCCACCACCACCAGCACCCGTGAAGAAGGTCGTGTACACTCCACCCCCACCAGTGTATGTTCAGCCTGAGGGTCCCAAGGGCTACAGCTACCCCAACGATCCGCAGCCATCGTTCGACTATTAGGCTATTGTAGGCTTCTTGTAAATATAAAGAATCTTCATTAAGTATTAGACATATTTTTGAACGAATGGTGAATGCAGTGGTTTGGGCTTTCGCACGAAAGACGAATCCACTTGGAATAACTGTAAAAATAAACTAAAAGCAATCGAATGGAACCTTCATGTGTTTGGCTCTTTTACTCGTACACACAGTGCTGTGACAAATGCACAGGGGCGTAGGAGACTTATTATGACATGCTAGGCTTCAACCCCCCTTTCCAAGCCATTGCCAACACAGATTTACAGCACTTGACCCTCTCATCCGCACACCACTGCACTCCCTTCTACAAGCGTAGGATTTGAAGAACACCGAGAGAGCATGGTTTCTTGATTATTCATGCCGTCCTCTATCATCTTCCATGCACTTATGGTCTTCTCCCCTCTCCCAACCATACAAAACACAAGCTAAACAGAGGCAGAGCCATTGCCCCTTTCTTGCCATTAACCGTTGCATTGACAAACGCACAAATCTTTGCTCTCTTGGAGTGTGTAACACACATGCAAAACTGCAATGGGAGAGCAAGTAGTAAGCATTTCAGGAGAAAATGAAATGTTCGAGAAGCCAAGCCCCTTTACCAAACATTACATAGTTTCATGGAATTGAGTGCGTGGGAGGCGTGGTTTCTAGAACATCTCCATGCCGTCACTTTCAATGCTCTCCTTAAGGTCTGCCCGGCTGTTTCTCGCCATCCACAACACATGTCAAAGCAGAAGCAAAGCAATTTCCCCTTCTTACCATTAACCGTTGCATTGACAAGTGGTCACTCATCAAACTCGCAAAGGTTCGCTTTCTTATAGTAGGAGAGGGACAACATACATCTAAACTCCAATGCGTGAGAAAGTAGGAAGCGCATAAGAAGGAGAGCTGTAGGTGAGAGGCCTCTTGAGAATACAGTGGCGTGCAGTGGAGAGGGCTGAATTTCCGTGTGCATTTACATAAGTATGTTCTGTCAATCACTTGGAAAGGGGAAAGGGAAAAATGTAATGCAAATCCCCCTACGCCACTGTACGCAGTCGAACGAGAGAACAAGTGGGAAGCACAAAAGAAGGAGAGCATAGAATGTTCTAGAAAAAAGGCCACCTACGCATTAAAATTTGCGCCGCTCTCTCACTTTCAATTTTTTCGGACGGACAAAGCGAGCGGTTTTAAGTAAGCTCCGCGTTTCGGGTCGCGAAAATCGGGAAATGGATGGAAAATCCATCGGGTAAATTGTAGGGCAGTGGTGCAGTGCAGTGTAGTGGTTCAGTGTGGTGCAGTTAAGTGAAATGTGCAGTGAAGTGGTTGCAGCATAGTCCCTGATCCAGAGATGCCGCAGAATGGCAGAGTGGCAGCGGAAAAATTGGCAATAAGTGAAAGTGAAAAGTGTATTGGTGAAGTGAAGTGAAGTGGTTGCAGTATAGTTCCTGATCCAGAGATCCAGTGGGGCACTGTTTCAAAAGACATACGCCCAAAAATGGCAGAATGGCAGCGAAAAATTGGCAATAAGTGAAAGTGAAAGTGTATTGTGAAGTGAAGTGAAGTGGTTGCATTATAGTGGGGCAATGTTTCGAAAGAAAAAGGCCCAAAAATGGCAAGAAAAGGTTCCTGATCCAGAGATACGGCAAAATGGCATATAAAGGCAGAGCGGAAAAATAAGGAAATAAGTGATTGTGAAGTGTTTAAAGTGTATTTTGCATTTATTATTCAACATTTAGACTTATTATTTAATGCATACATTTTGTTTTCTTTTGGTCACGTTATCTCTGGCAATGTGTGTCAGTGTTTGTGTGTCGTGTGTGCAGAAAATGCAAAAGAGGGGCAGAGTTTTGTCCCTTTCCCACTCCAATGCCCAAAGTGAAGAAGAGAAGAAAAGCAATAAGAATGGCGGGAGCGAAGCGTGTCTCTCATTACATGGTGAGGTGAGGTCTTGGTGATCTCTCTCTCTGTCTGCAGTGCGTTCAGTGCAGTTGTACCTCACCTTATATTAAAATACCCAAAATATGTGCTCTCAGTGAAATGTGCTTGGAATTATTATAATTCCTTTGTACTGATGCGTTTTCGTTTTCGTTTCGCAAATCGTTCGCTCGAATCGTCGCGCGGTTTCGTAATCTCTCCGTCCCGTTTCTCCGTTCGATGTCACCACAGAGAAGAACAGTAAATTAAGAAAAGGAAGGAGTAACAGCGCAATGTTACGTTCCAAAAGGTAAGAGAGCATTCTGTTTAATCTTACGTACTCTAATTGCTATGGGAAATGGGGAATCTCTTGTTTCATTTACATTGCTTTTTAATATCTGCTAAAATTTTTGGGTCCTGAATCACATTGCTTCTAAGACGCTTGTTTACAGAGTATTGCAAGTATGCAATAATTTCTATAAAATATCCGAAATTTGCTTAAAAAACCCGATACTTACAGCCTAAAAATATGCCATTTTGGGGCTGCCAATACAAATAATTCATGTAGATTTCATGTAAAAATAAATCATTTCTATGTAGGGCAGTCTAGACAACATTTTCTGCATAATATAAGATAGAAATTCCAAGTGAGTTGATTCGTCTGTCAATCAGAATCAACTTTGCTTAGTGGGTGTGTCGCTGGTCATTCATTCAGATTCGATCCCAATAGATGCTGCTAGAATACGGATACCCCCGCTCTATCGAATCGTCTGATATTTCAATCAATCTTGACTTGTCCACTTATTGGTTGGCAAAGATAAATTGTGCGAGAATCGGTGGATCTGCATCTGTCCCATCGCCAAGCTCTAATAAAACGAACACTTATTAAAGCGTTTGTTTTTATGCACTTTTATATGCGGGGTGGCTCGGACTGCATAATTATTGAATTGCATGGGGGAGGGGTGGGCTTGCGGGGGATAGCGACAAATCCGTCAACGGCTTTCAGCGACTAGAATCATTAATCCAAGATAGAAATCAATGCGAGTATCAAAAACAAATGCGTCCAAGACAAAAGGCTTGTGTGTATGGGCTCTGACACTTGACCCCACAAAACAAGTCTTGGCCTTGGCAATGAGGCGACGGCATCGCAGATGGAGATGGAGATGTTGTAGTATTTTATTTGTAGTGCTCTATCGGCAGCAGGCAGCTTTGTATCTTTGCTTGTTTATCTAGGGCCGCCATTCTCTGCTTCTAGCAGCAGCAGCAGCTTGAGCGTAATTAATAAAGTGAGGCAAAATCTTGGCAAATGAGTCGAACATATAGAAGTATAAATAGTTGGGGTCTGAGCGCCGGCGCTTGCATTCGCTTGAGCAACGTTTGGAACGCTGGAAGCGACTGAAAATCCACTCCATTCTTAGAGCCATTCCCCCAGTCAAACACACACACACACGAAATATGGTAAGCGCTTGTCATTAGCCTCTTGCCACACATTCGCCTCACGCTTTTGTGCTCGTACCCTGCAGCGTCTCTCTGTCTTTAGTCTCCTGTTGCTGACGGTTTGTCTGCATTCCGCCACATCGGATGTCTCTCAGCTGGTGCGCTCTGGCAATGGGTTTGTCTATGATGTGCCGAAGGTCACCCAACTGGAGCTGGAGGTCAGTAATGAGTTCCCCACGGGCGAGGAGTTCCCCCAGGATGCCATACCCGTGGCACCATCCGACGCAGAGCTGGGCCAGGCCGAAGAGCCCGAAGAGGAAACCGCACAGCTAATATCCGCCTCAAAGTCTCCAAGTAAAAGTGCCGGCAGCAGCAGCAGCATTCACGGCTACAAGTACCAAGTGCCCAGCAGGCGCTTCAAGAGCTGAGACCCTCTACCTACCTGTTGTGTTTCCCTCGAATTTTGTACCAAAGTTTTCTGTCTAAAGATAATAAAAATTGAAATCCCCCCCCATAAGATCTAGCTGCGTTCCTTTCACCAAAAGAAGCCCTTGGGCAGGGCTTACGCCTAAGACTTGCCTTGGTTTCGGGTTTAGAACGAGATTCCATTTGTGTTTAAAGTTTGTAGTGGCAGACTTGGCGTCTTCTTGCTAAAATAATTGTTTATGCTTGACAAAATGTATCTTTTAATCCCAAACCGGTTGCGGTGGGGGCTTTAAATATGTGCACAAGTCTCGGCTGGGTCTGAGGCTAGAGAAGAAGATGAACAGACTTAATGCCCATAAAGAACGACAATTAATTTCATAAACGGCATAAATAATGCGAATTATTGGCCAAAAAGGCGGAGCACACGCCACTGAGTCCAGTTTTGCGGCACTTGACAATCGATCAGTCGGATCGATTCCACCAACGTTTTGGGAGGCGGTTCAACAACCCGTATAAATTATTGAACAGAATGAAACAAAAAGTGATAGTTGAGCCACGACTTTGTCACTGTTTGTTTTTTTTTTTTGTTTACTTAAGTCGCTAATCCAACTAATTAGTGGATTAAATGCTGTCATTAAAGGGATGGCAAATTCCCCAATCCAAAAGCTGCAAAAAAAAACAACCAATAGCCGCCTACGATTTGTAAGCTTGGAATTGCTTCCGCAAGCTCATGTCGAATGTTTCATGTCTCTTGTCTCATAGAGAAGACAGCTTCATTGTCCGTCATTGTCCATGAAATACTCAAATCCACTCCACTGGAGACTTCTTGAGCTGCATAAAGGCAGCGCGCGCCATAATTATTATAAATGAAGTCTAAATGATTTATGACAGCAAGCGGATCGCGCTTACAGCGTTGCTGGCTGGCTGGCTGGCTGGCTGGCAGCTGCGGAACTAACGCATCTCTGCGCTGACTTTGGGTCAGCAGTGTTTTGGGTCGGAAGCAGAGGCTCACTTTTGACACCAAGCAAACAATGAAGCGAGCTGCTTGAGCCAACGCTGAGTGACGATGCTGATGAAAAGCCCGCAACACACATAAAAATATAATGGCTCTGGGCAGATCGAGAGGGCAGCAACGCTAATCATTCATACAAATACTTAAAGCGCCAACTGAGACAGATACTCGGACATTTTTTTTACCGATACAAAGAATGGTTGCTGCTGCCATGAATCTGGCATCGTTAGCTCTAAGCTTCGATATCGATTTAAATGATAATAATTGGCCTTTGGAGAGCAGAAAAGCCCATGGACTTGGCTCGGTCTTAGAAGTTTTTTTCGACTATAAATAAACAGCTACACATGGTATTGGTCAATCATTTGTGGTCTACGAGCTCAAGGTGTAACATAAACCAATAACCATGGTGAGTCTTGGCATCCTTAAGCAACCCCCGACACCCTGACACCCTGACACCTTACGAACTTCAATTTATGACAGAAATTCATCATTTTGGTGACCTTTGGCGTGCTGCTGGCACTGGCTGCCGCAGATGTTTCGCATTTGCCGCTGGAGCAACTCCTGGAGGAGCAGGGACAGGAGGACCATGGCTATGGCTATGACTATCCCAAGCCGGTGGTGCCATTTGTGGTGGTGACCACCACAACAGAGCCACCAACGCCACCGCCAACCTATCTGCCACCAAAGCCAGTGCCCACTTATTTGCCTCCTCCGCCACCAACAACGACAACCACAACGACGACCACAACGACAACAACTCCCGCTCCAACGCCAGCACCGACTTACCTGCCACCTCCTCCACCCACGCCTGTGCCCACCTACTTGCCACCTCCTCCACCAAGAACCACAACCACAACGACGACGACGACGACAACGCCTGCCCCAACGCCAGCGCCCATCTACCTACCGCCACCACAGCCCGAGCCAGAGCTGGAGCCTGAGCCAGTGGAGGAGCATGGCTACCACTACGAGGCACCTGCCAAGTCATTTGTGTTCTAGGAATTCCACTCCAACTGACTGCACTCTGAACCCTGAAGTATGCCCCCGCTCGACTGTTGTTTGTTTTGAATCTGTTAGGCCTAGTATTATGTAATATAATAAATGCTGTTTTGTTTAACCCCATTAATACTCCCAACCCATTGATCCACATTGATATCCGTTGCATTATGGCTGGGGTTAGAGGAGAGTCAATCACCGGTCAATTGTCTTTCGCATCTCTCACATTTCACGATTGAGATTCCACTTGCATATGCATGAGGCGCCTCTGATGAACCACCAGCTGCACCATTCCCTGCCGAACTCGGCCTTTTGTTGTGCGCCTAATTAAAGCCTTTAATAGGGGGGAGCAAAAGATACCACACGCCGATAATTGCCACCAGCAGAGTGGCTCGATGGATCACACACAAGTTCATGAAAAGCTCGAAGAGTGTGAAGAAAACCGAACCAAAAATTATGCACCGCTTGGCCTGGCCTTTGTGCACAAAAAACGTATGCTGATTGCTGTCCAAACTGAGGAGATGGAGTGCGAGTTTGAAGTTCGAGTTGGAGTTCGATTGGAGTATAAAAGAAGCGACCATCGACGATAGTGACATTACTTGAAGCCGCCAGCAAACGGCAGCAACATCATCATCAACGCAGCAAAGGAATACAAACCAACGGAATGGTAAATGTCTGGACACATCCTCGTTGGCGAAATGGAGTTATAATTATTCCCTTTTCCTGCAGAGACCCTTGCTGATCCTGTTGGCCGTGGCAGGCCTTGCTGCTGTCTGTGTCCGTGCGGATGTTTCCCATCTGTTTGGTGGTGGTGGCGGTGGCTATGGACACGATCATCATGATCATCACGATCACCACGATCACCACGATCATCATGATCATCACGATCATCATGATCATCACTACGATCCCCATGCCCACTCGCACGGTGGATTATCGCACGATGGTCCTCATGGGCACGCCGGTCTGCACATAGATCTGCACTACCAGCAGGAGCCCCACCATCATCACCATCATGTGGAGCCGGAGGCCAAGTTCAACATTCCCAGCGGCTACAGCTATGGCGGACCACCGCCGGCACCCAAGAGCCGTTACCTGCCGCCAGCACCAAAGGCCAGCTACCTGCCGCCAGCGGAGAAGCCCCGCCAGAAGTATTTGCCACCCAAGGCGTCGCTGCCACCTCCACCACCACCTCCGCCCAAGGCCAGCTACTTGCCGCCCTCCAAGCCGGAGGTGAAGTATCTGCCTCCTGCACCTGCACCTGCACCCAAATATCTGCCTCCTGCACCTGCGCCAAAGTATCTGCCTCCCGCGCCTGCACCTAAGTACCTGCCTCCCGCGCCTGCACCCAAGTATCTGCCACCCTCTCCACCTGCACCGAAGTATCTGCCCCCTAAGGTCGCTCCCAGCTTGCCGCCACCACCTCCACCACCGGTTGTGGCGCCCAAGCCAAGCTACTTGCCTCCTGCCCAGCCGGAAAATAATTATCTGCCACCCGCTCCACCGGCCAGCAAGTATCTGCCCGCCGAGGAGCCCGTGGCCAGATATCTGCCACCCAAGGTAGCTCCCAGTCTGCCACCGCCACCACCTAGGCCGGAGACGAGCTATTTGCCACCCAAGCCAGAGTCTAGCTATTTGCCTCCTGCCCCAAGGCCTGAGTCGAGCTATTTGCCACCCAACCATGCGGAGGAGCATCATCACCATGAGCATCAGCACGCGGAGGAGCATCATCACCATGAGCATCAGCACGCGGAGGAGCATCACCACCACCAGCATGAGCATCAGCCGGAGATTGACTTCCACATTCCCATACCCTCGTATGCTTTGCCCCTGCAGTCGGGGAGCCACAGCCATGTGCCCGAGCACGCCTATCAGTACAAGCCGCCACTGCGTCGCTTCAGGCAGTAAGCCACGCCCCCTCCCCAAACCTCATAAGTGCTGCATCTAGTTATAAGTTTTTGCAAATTAAAATCATTTAAAAACGAAACGAAACCAAAGCAACACCCAAGACACCGGCTGAAATATTTCACCAATCCATTGTTTGAGTGACGCTTTCGACAGCCGTCAGCCGCTCAAGGTCGAATCTATTAAAGACATTTAGCCAGAGGTACGAAAAAGGGACACACACAGACAGACAGACAGATAGACAGGCTCTGCTCCATGGTTTGGAAATTGGATCTTGGATCTTGGAACTGTCCATGCGCGACCCCCAAAAATGGATTGCGGCCAATCAACCGAGGGAGCCACAGTCTTCAGTCTTTCAGCACCTGCAGCTGTCTATAATTATTTGCGTTTAGGAATGAAAAATGATGTTCAGCAGAGATATATATATAGATATTGATTACAAAAATACTCAAACTAACACACAAAATTTGATAATCGCGGGCCGGCAGCTATCAAAGTCTCTCCACTGACCTCTTTTAGCGAGCGCTTTGCACAGAGATGGAGTAAACGTGAAGTAGGGCAAACTAAACTAAACTAAACTAGACGGCAAACGAATACTCTTTCTTGGGGTATCTAAACCGGAAGTTTGGGAACCCCTAAATGGGTTCTCCCACAGACAAAAATTGTCTCCCAAATAGTTTTGCAAGCGCAGCAGCAGACATAAAACCCAACAGGTTTAATGACTCTTAGCCATAAAGAGCTCTGTCTTCTCTCCATAAAAACAAAAGCCCCAACGCAACGAGAGAGATGACTGCGAATTAAGATATTTCGATTCAATAAAACAATGAAATTCCGCAACGAATAGCGGCTGCTGCCAATGTGTCTTGGCTGACAGCCACCGGCGTCACACCATCATCTGGATTTTAGAGTCTGAGACTGATACTGCCAGAGCGTCGCTGTCGACCGCTCTAACGTCTGGTGTCGCTGTTCTCGCCGCGCGTCAGCTCTAACTGTATAAATAAAGAAGCACTTGCCGGAAACTGTATCATTTCGGGAGTAGCAGTCGTCGCAGCGAGAACTTAACATTCATTTGGACTATAAAATGGTTTGTTCAACGCTTTAAATGCTCATTGAGAGAACGAATCCTCATGTTAATGTCTTCCTGCTCTACAGAAACTCCTGATCCTGGCTGTGTGTGGCCTTGCGCTGGTGGCCGCTGATGTCTCGCATTTGTTTGATCACGATGATCATCACGATCATCCCGGCTACAACTATGAGCCACCGAGTGTGCCCTTTGAGTTGCCCACACCTGGACCATCCTATCTGCCACCGGAACCCGTGACGGCTCGTGTGATTGCTCCTGTGCCGTCTTACTTGCCACCGATGCAGCCGGTGACGAAGCCAACGCCGATTTACTTGCCTCCCCAGTCATCGGTGAAGCCTGAGCTGCCTGTTGTCAGGACACCCAAGCCTTCGTATCTGCCTCCACCACCGCCAGTTGTGAAGGTTGTGACGCCCAAGCCTTCGTATCTGCCACCCCCACCGCCGGCTGTGAAGGTTGTGACGCCAAAGCCTTCGTATCTGCCTCCACCACCGCCGGCTGTGAAGGTTGTGAAGCCAAAGCCCTCGTATCTGCCTCCACCACCGCCGGCTGTGAAGGTTGTGACGCCAAAGCCCTCGTATCTGCCTCCCCCACCGCCGGCTGTGAAAGTTGTGCCTCCTCCTAAGCCCTCCTATCTGCCACCTGCAGCTCCCATTGTGAAAGTTGTGCCACCCAAGCCCGCCTATCTGCCTCCCCCAGTGGCACCCGTGGTAGAGCAGCCAGAGCCGGAGTATCTGCCGCCCTCGAAGCCGACCTTCAAGATCCCAATCCCCTCCTATGCCGCGCCGCTGGAGGAGCCCGTGAACAGCTATCTACCGCCCCAGGAGATTGTGGAGCCGCACAGCGAGGATGGCTATCACTATGATGCCCCGGCACAGCCTTTCCTCTTCTAAGATATCCACAGAAACCCCTCCCAATCCTTAGCCATTTTATTGTTGTCTGCCAGTGTCCAACGTGTATATACTATAGTTATTTATTAAGTTTTGTAAACGAATAAACCCCTAACACAATGAAAATCCCACATGCCTACATCCTGCTCTTGAACTTGAACTTGAGTTGAGTTCGGGGGAAAATCCTATCAGAAGTATGGCACAGACCAAGCCACGAACTCGACTCAAGAGTGCCAAGAGTGGGGGCAGCATAATTACACTTGAAGGTGTCTAAAAATAGCTGACACTGTGGCAGAACAGTTTCATTCACTGGAAAGACCAAAGTTACAGGCTATTTTGAGTCGTCCAACTATGCTGATGCTCTGCTGGCCAATTCCGGCTTGATTTATGCCCACAGCCACAGCGTGCAGCTCGAGTGAGTAATTGAAGCTGATGCTGAGGCCATAAGCTCTAATTTGATGGCCCGAATTGTGGTTAAGCTTCAATAAACGACGGCTTATAATTTATGGCAATAATTCTTGCCTTGATTGCTGCCCCACAGGCAGGCAGACAATCGCTGGCATTGTTGAAGGTGTGAAGTTTCGCCCTCGACCTCCCCGTAACGGACAGCTTTTAGCATCCTCCCACGCTGATGCTGATGGGTGGATAGAAAGTGAAACTAATGCCATGAGGAAGTTCAAACACATTTGGACAGAGAAGAACATACTCTGGGAATGGAATGGATTGGAATGGAATGGCCACTGCGTGTGTTGAGAAAATGAATTGCTTTTATGCAAATCAGATTGCATGATCTAATAGTTGATTATGGAATGGCTGGGAACCCGTTTCTGCTGCCTCTGCCACCCTCAAATTAATACGATTATTACGCTTATCTTTCGTTTAAGTGCCTCAAAAATGATTTACTTTAAGAGCGCGTATACGTTTGTTGCTCTTAGTAGCGCCCGTTTAAATAAACATGTCCCATAAATTATCGAGCTCATCATTGATTTTAGAAAGCCCAGCAACGGATGACCCGAGGCAGGTTCAGATTCTGTCGTCTAGCCTGTTTCCGATCTAAACACTGCCACTAATGAAACGAAACCATTTGTTTCCTCGTTTTTCGCTGTTTCTGTGCTATGGTAATTATTTTTCATTGATGCATTCGAATTCGTTTTTGCGCAGAATGCTAGTTGGAAGATGTGTGAATTCTAGGGAGACAGCATTTTGGTAAAAATATACAAAATTGTAGTAATTATACATAAATCACTTACTTCAATTTATTTAATTAAATTCAAAGATTTTCATATTTTTTACCACAAATATTTTAATAAATTTTGAATTATATAATTAACAAAAACTATTTTTGTTTTTGGGTCTGGTTTAGAGCTTAATAATACATATTAATAATACATATATTATACATAATAAACTTAGTTCATGAATTTATTTATTTTAATATTTATTAACATTTCGTTTTTTTTTAATTACAGAAAAATTCTCAGTTGTGATGGAAAAAAGGTACATATTTCACAGTAATATATTTCTTTTATTATTTTTAAATGTTTTAAAATGTATTTTAATACAAATAAGTTTTTATTTTGAGCCAAAAATGTCTTGGGTCGAATCAGTTGTTCAGCTTTCATCACTAGTTCCACTTTTAACTGTCAGCTTTTGGGCAAACAAAATAGTTAGGAATATATCCGCCCAAAAGTATGCCTTAAAAAGTCTCAGAGCACGCGTATAACAGTTAATTTCATGCTCCAATTTTCGTTTCCAAAAATTAACCTTTAGGCAGCCGCAATTATTATTAAAATAATTAAATTAAAGCAGCAAAAAAAAATAGATAATGCTCAGAAAATAATACATGGTAGATGCGCAAAAATCATGTTAATTGAAGTTTAATTAATTCCGGCATGGATCATTTTTCATAATCCATTGCCTTGACAATGCCACAAGGGAAGGGGCTGTTGTAACAACTTGTGTAATTAATAACAGAAGCGGCAAGGCCGCAAAAATTATAATTGCCACTTGACTGACTGACTGATCGAGGAGTCCAGTACGAGACGAGACGGAAGCTGTCATCGATGCGATGGCACACAAAGGAGTGGGCCAGCCAGCCAACCAGCGAACAAGCGATTGAGACCCAGTTTGTCATAGTTCGTAGAAAATAAGAGTCAAATCTGCTAATGCCCCTGAATTGAAGCCGAGGCAGCAAGGCAATCAGATTGACAATCAATCCATCAATCAAATGCGCATTGTCTCAATGGCCACCCGTGCGGATTGAACCTCTTCAAATGGAGTGTTTACACTTCAGTTTCGGTTTAGTCTTTCGGTTTGTGGCTTTTATTTTTGGAGACAATTTAGCAGGTTTTAGCAGAAGCTTAAACCGGTTCAATTTAATGTATTTTGAAAGTATTTTCAGTAGATTTATGTATTTCTATATCTATATCTATTTATTTTTATTTTTATATTTTTGTTGGCTAGAGTTTCGGTTTTGGTTTACGAGCCGTCAAGACTCGTGCAAGAACCTGCATAAATAATTATTTCTAATTAGCTCGAAGAAGCCACACACCACTTAAGTTTGCCACGCAACAGAGACGGAAATTATTCCCCAGACATAACCATCGAATTGGATGGCTAATAAGACGGACCTCAGTGCGCAGAAAGGTACTACGAACGAGAGTGCCAGAGCTTCCGTATGCAAATGTTTATCCCAAAATTCTTGTTGCCATGATTAATGATGTTCCCCAATCAAATTGAGAACGGATCCTCATTGTGGATACATCTTTCGACACACTTAATCCGTGCTTTGATGAGCTGTGAATATTATAATTCAATGGCGTTGCTGCCTGCCTCCCCCCCTGCGGCCTGGCCTTGGCTGATGAATGAAATATTCGCTTTGATTTTTGTGGATTTTTTTTTATCATTTTTACAAATAATTTACGTTTATTTACGCGTGCGTACATTACTTGGAACATTCAACAATAACTGAATACTTGGGTCTTAGAACAACGTCTTCATCATTTGTCTCTTTGTACTTTTGCTCTTTTTTTATGCTTTCTTGGCTTGGCTGCTGCTTGTTCGTTGCTCGTTCTTTGATGTTTCGTTCTAGGATTAGGATTGTTGGTTAGGATAGATTCGATAGTTGGATAGATTTTTGTAGAAGGGTTTGTTTTCAGTGCGTGGTAATGTGCGTGGGTATAGGTTAATGCTTGATTCGAGCAGTGGATTGGGTTTGGTTTTTGGAGAGTCGTTTCGGGCAGGTGTGAAGTGTGGAGGGGTGCATGTGCGGGTGCGGTGGTAGAAGAAAGAAAACAGCAAAATATAGAGAGAGGATAGATTATTAGGATTATTATCGAACACTTGTTTAAATATGTATAGAGGATATATGCTGCTCCATCTTAGTAGCGGCGCAGGCGGTAGAAGCGTCTTACATAGACTGGACGACGGTACTGGTAGCCGCTCCTGCTGTTGAACGAGTGTCCCGCCAGCTGCTGCTGCTGGGGCGGCAGATACTGCACACGCTGTGCAATGGGCTGTGGCTGCGGCTGCTGCTGGATGAATGCCTGCTGAACGGCCACGGGACGAGCAATGGGACGTGCAATGGGCGCAGCAAACACTGGCCGCGGGGCCGGGGCAGGAGCGGCGGCAGCTGGCAGTGGCTCCTCAATGTCAATGTACTCCGGTTCTGGTGTGGCAATATCCTGTGGATTGGGTCCCTGTGTGGCCGAATCCGGCAGCTGGGCACCAGCAACAACGCCCACAAGGGCCAAGGCCAACAGCATGAAGAATTTCTGCCGAAGAAGGAAAGAGAGAGGAGGGAAAACACTTGTCAGATTTATTTTGGAGTCATTCTATTTATGGAGCCGCTGGGGTGTGAAGCGCCAAGAGACACTCCAGCCACGGTCAGTTGTACACTTGAGTTGAGGGTTGGGCCAGGCGGCACTCCAATTGATTTATATTTGGATTGAAATGTTCTTTGTTGTTTTTATTTTTTATTTGCCATTTTACACATCACTTAGGGTTTCCTTATTGTGGTTTTCAGTCTATATCCTTCTTAGAATTTAATGCACTTGTGGGGTGGATTCATTATCCTTTATCCTGTTCACATACCATTTTTATTTGTTTTTTATTTAATTGAATTTCACGAAATTTTCTCGAGCAGATGAGCGGACGAGCAATTTACACTTAAGAAGTTCAAAGCACAAATGATGATGAGCTGGTCAGTTGGTTGGAAATTTATACTATATCTGGTCTGCTGGATGGTGGCTATGGGTCTGGGTCTGGGTCTATTCGGTCCGGTTCGTTTCAGTTCGGTACGTGGGTCTTGGAGAGACGACGACCGCCAAAAACCCGATGAGACACCAAAAGCAAACCAAACCACAAGCAGCAACGCGTTAGAAATAAGGCAGCAAACAACAACAACAACAAATATTATCAGCAGCAGCAGCTCCCCCTTGAATCAAATCAAAATTTAAATTAAATGAAACGAAACAGAAACAGAAACAGAAATGGAATCAAATGAAGAGAGGCTGCTAGAAGAGTGGTTTGCTTTGGGGACCCTTTAGACAATCACTTGGCTTGTCGTCACGAATCACATGACGCACAAATGGACAAAGTTAACAAAGTATTTAAAGAGCGGAGTAGATCCTACAACCCTCCACCTCTCGCCTGAGAGCTCGCTCTGTTTCCCATCAAACGACGCGTGGCTCAGAAAATGAGTTCGTTGCCTAAGTCTTTTGAAATAATTTGCATAACATTTTGCTAGAATAATATTTTTTCACTGAAGTGGCTGGCAGCAGCAGCACTCGACTAATTATGCGAAATTCTACACTCCAGTTCTTGATGTGTGGAGACAGAAAACAAAGTCGGTCCAACATTAATTATTGTATCGGCAGTAGGAGATTGTCTGGTAGCCCAGTCAGCCCTCTCCATTCATACGTTTTGATCGGTTCCAGCAGTTGTCGGGCTGTCTGCTTGTTTGTAGCTTCACTTGACCTCAGCAGGGGCAACAATAAGCAAATTTAACGGCTTTCGGGGGCATACGCGTACAACATTTCCGTTTCTCGTGTGTGTCTGTGTGTGTGGGGAAATACATTCACCTGCCAACAGTCGAATCGAATCGACACTCGAGTGGAGACCCAAAAAAAGATGCAGTGCCAATAAAAATGATTTGTTCGATATCAAGGCTATGCCACGGCGATTAAGTGGCACAAAACACAGGAAGTGCTTAAGCTAAATTCGGCCAAAAAACATTGTAAAGATGTTAACATAAAACCCACCTGAAAAACTACTCCAAGTTCTTGGTCTGTTGGTGGCCTGTGACATCATTTTTGGTGCCTTTCACCTGCTGCTGCATTGATTGATGGTGTGTGTGTGTTTCAACGGGCCAACAGATGAGACACCTAGCGGAGTTCTGTGTATTTTTACGGTTATTAGAAAATTTAAAATGTAATTAATAACGCTTTTGGCTCGCTGGCTGACTGGTCGCTGGCTGACTGGTCGCTGGCTGACTGTCGTATTAGAATTCGCCTCTGTGAGATAACCAAACAAAGCAGAGATTTTGGCCATTGTCTATTGCGTCAACGCTATTTGACTTGCAAAAATGTGTCATTTGTGTACAGCCGAATGGCAACGTTCTATCCGCATAAATCAATCAAGTGTGTGCCAGATTTATGGGGCCACAATCTACCCTCGCCTCCACAATAAATGTAGTTCACCGATAATAACATTTAAATCAGCAAACTTTTATTTATGCTAATGCCAACATATCGATATTAATATGTTTCTTGATCTTTCCATCACCGAGTCTGTGTCTCGCTGTGCTTGTGGCCGGCACCAACGCTTTTTGACCGTATTTGCATACGGCAGACGACATCAGAGTCCAAGTGAATCAAAAGCCATGAGCTGCGCCATTCGCCGGAGAATCTTAACTAAATGCCGGCAATAGAATATTGTCTTTATTTATGACTCTGCTCGCTATCGAGAATCGATTAGACTTCACGTGCCTGCCAGGAAGGGGTTCGGCGGGGTTCGTTTGTATCTGGTTTTAGTTTTCATTCCCATTTATTTCGCATGCGACTTGTTGTCCGGGCTTAAACACGAGTCTGCCTTTGTCTAGGCTGGTGCGTGTGTTTACATGCGATCCTTGCCACCTGATAGCCCGAACCAACAAAAGATCTTCATTTGTTGAAGTGAGACACTCCCCGTTTTCTAGCTGCCGGTTTTTTGTGTTGGCTTGACATTTAAATAACAGGGCGGCGGCGCATGTGAATAGAACAAAAACAAATTAAACATTTGAAGCATTATTTTTTTGTATTAATAAAAGCACTCAGTTAAGAGGATTTAAATATTTGTGATATTATAATTGGATTTTTATAGGGGAAATACATTTAATATTCCAAGCAAATATTTTGTATATTTTAGTGTAATTTTTAAATGTTAAAAATAAATATATTTCATGTAAATTTAATATTTTATACTCGTAGATATTTATTTTATTGTTTTTGTATTTTACAATTATTAATTTTTAATTATTTAATTGAATTTTTCAAAGTATTTTAATTTTTATTCAAATTAATTCTATTTATTTTCACTTTTTTAATACATAAAATGGTTACTTAAACATTCAATTTAACTATTTTTATTTTTAATTTTTTTTAAATATTTTTTTATTATACAAACATTTCTCTCAGTGTAGTAGTAAAACCCCCAACAAGAATACAATCTTTATACGTAACGTTCAAGTCAAGGTTTAATCTAAGTTCTTTTTAGATGCTTTGCATCAAAGTTATCGTATGATTGGCTTCGCCTGCGTTAAGATTCTCAAGCCAGACACATTCCTGTCTCTTTTTTGTGTTCATAAAGATTCTCAAGTAAATATTTTTGAGGCATTTTTCGTGTGTTTGTACAAGCTTCCGCACATTCACTGGCGAAACAGGCCAGAGACAGAGCCCAGAGCACACAGCCAGCGTCACAGCAGTATGAATATTCAATAAATAACGCAGAAAATGTATAACAAAAAAATAGGCAAACAGCAAAACAAATATATCATCTGCAGCAGAGACAATGGCGAACTGTGGTGGAAATAATTATTTCAAAACGATTGCCAAAGCTGTGGGCATGATCTAGGCACAAAAATATTTATTGCAACACCTCTCGACATCGGAGAGGGGCGCACTTGACAGATTTATAACTGCCTCAATAAATTGTCTTTAAATAGACAACAAACTGGCCGGCCGAATGCTCAGTCTCGTTTCCGGGGGAGTGATATAAATTATTAAACAATTATCGTCCATCAGAAACTTGACCTACACTGGATGCCAAAAGCAGATCGCTGTCCGTCTCTGTCGGTTAGAACAAAAACTTGTTTGTCTTGATTCGTTTGAGGCAGAGTGTCGGGTTCGATTATTAGAGGTAGATAAATAGATAGATTCTGGTTCCAGTCAATCCTGTGACTGTCACAGACAAACCGGCGTGGTGGGACGGGCACACGCGCCCAGTGAAAGCCGCCGCCACAGGAGACTAAGAAGAACGTTAAAATTGAATGGGAAGCATAAATTAGTTATTACAATTAGCTAGAAACGAAATAAAATAAAGCTCATTGGGAATATAATGAACAGGGGAATGAGAATGGAAGGGAGAACTCTGACGCTGACCAAGAATTTGCCAACAAAAGACAAAAGACAAAAGAGATGACTCCTCTCATCTAATCATTGTTTAACTTAATAATTAGTTTTTAATTCTGTCTGCTCATAATTTGCAGCAACAAATAATACAAAGCGATAACCGCCCGAGGGGCAATGCCGTGCGACGTGTCGGTGGCTTTCAGCCAAAAGCAATTTACTCGATTTTGGCACCTTTGGGCCAGCTGGCTGGCAGGCTGCCTGGCTCGTGCCACCGTTAAGACAAACACTTTGAACTTTGCCTGCGACTATAATCAATAATAATTGATATGGGCTGCGTTCTCCAACGCTCAAGCTAACAAAGAAGACTCTGGGAATATTCTCATAAAATATAAAATCTCAGTTTATACCCCCCCCCCCCCCCCATAAAAACTTAATTGATTTTCGATTTTCGGTTAGTTTTAGTGGTAAAACCATTTAGAAATCGTTTAGATATGTTGTGAGTGTAAAGTGGGGATTAAAAAGAGATCCAAAAGAGAACTTGTTTCTATCACAAAACAAATCTGAAAGTTTTGTAGACTTTTTAGACTGTTTTTATCGTTGATTTATTAGCCCTAGCCAAAGCAGGCATACCCCAAAAGATACTCTTTAAGATGCTGTAAGCGATTCCGACAAACTGACAAATTGCTGCCATAAAATGTGTAAATACAAATTAATGGATTAGATTAGAAGACAATCTGTGGGGAGCATCATTCAATAAGATTTCATTCATGCTAGATCTAGATCTAGTTTGATGTATGACGAACCGCCAACCCTGACATTGAAGGCAGCTTAACCCGTTCTAGCAAAAATTCTATTAAATATATATCGTAGAAGCCATTCGAGTCAATTTGCACAAATGAAAATGCTGATTATTATGTGAGTCTGACTCGCGGACGCGGACTCTCTGGCCATTAGCAGGAACCTGTTTATCTATGGCACGTTTTTATTTGATTATTTGGCAAAGCAATAATGTCGTTGATTATCTTGATGATGATGATGATGAGGAGGACGGTTCTTGTGGCCGCCCGCCGCTCTGTCTGCCGCGTTGGTCTGTTAGATTCATTCTTGGCCAGTTCCATCTGCAGTGAGCCAACCACTGGCTACATTTTGTGTCTTTTTTGTGTTGAACCAACTGCTATGACATTGTTTTTCGATATGCGAAGATATGCCGTTTGCTGCGCTTTGTTTGTTTTATTTTGTTTTATTTTCTTTTATTTGTTCGTGGCGTGTAAGGCCAAGGTCAAAATTTGTAAAGAGATTGTAAGCATTGGAGATTAAGCAGAGATCTACGTGTATATTTGTGTATATTTGACTTTTCAATCGGATTGGATTGCCTTTGCTGCTGACTGCTGGCTGCTGGCTTCTGCATTTGCATTTTGTTTCAAACTGAAGTTGCCCATTGTCAGATATTTGCTGGTTGATGTTTTGACATCCATTATGGATTGGTTTGACAAGTGCTGTCAGTGCTCAAGTCGCAAGCGACCCACATCGAGGGACGTTGCCATCTAGCCATCGATGAATATTTGCCGTTAATAGCTTCACACCAGCCAGCAGTCAGTGAGTAAATTTGCGTAACAAAAGCCGCCTTCTGTGGCTGCTTTGTCCGTGCATGAATGAAACGAACTGGACCGAGTCGGAGTCTCTAATCTAGTTGTCTTCATAGTTTGTCGCCTCTATGGCAGTATTTTCTATGCATCTGCGGTGCGTGTGTCCGGCCCCTGCCTCTGATTAATGTTGGCGTTCGTTTTTGTAATTAAATTTTTAATTTTAATAGAGCATGCGAATGCCTTGGTATTATGCTAATCACTGGCGCCCACAGCCAACTGCAAAATCTTTTAAAGCATTTACAAAGGCAATCGTACCCCCCCGAACTCCAGCCAAAAAGGCTTAGCGGTATTATTGTCTGAGCCATAATTGCCCATTTTGGCAGCTAAACGATATTGTTCACGCTCAAGAATCGCTCAAGAAAACGTTTTTAATCGACAAAATTCGCTGCTGCCAATCGCCAGCAAATCGTGGATGTTGTTTGTTTCTTTTTGTTTATTTTTGCAGAGATTTTTGATTTATTTGCAGCCACTCTTGGACTGCTCGTCGGGAAGGTTAACAGTTGTTAAACATCTATTAAGCAATTGATTAATTTATTGTTAATGCGCTGCGAGCATGCGACGAACCTCTCAACCCGAACGTGAACCCTTGGCACTGGGACAGGGGATTGCTTGTGTGGCGGCTAGGGGCACAAAATACAGAAAATTATACAGAAAATCTATTTATTTTGCATGCAGACAGACACATTAATTAAGACATCAATTGTCTTAAATCAAAGTGCTGCATATATTCATTCGCAGCTAGATTACTCTGCTTCATGGGAATTATTTAAAAATAGATTGCGATTAACCTTAGTTGGGCAGAGTTTTGGTATGCGGAGAGCGGTGAGCTATAAGCTGAAAATGGTGACCCAAGTGAGTAAACGATGGGTAAACAATATTTTGTAAGTGTTGTTCTTTAAAAGGATAAACTTTGGTGAACAATTTTGTTGCTGAAATAAATTTTTAAAATTTTATACTAAAAAGTGTTTCTGATTTTAATAATTAATAATAGATTGCCATTTTAATATTATAATAAAATGTTTCTGGATTAAAATTGAATCAAATTCTGCTAAAGATTATTGTCGCTCCCCCAAAAAGCTTTCAACGACATCAAAGCTCAGATCTAAGTCGCATTCAAAGCACAGCTTTGATTTATCCCAAACCCCAACCCGCGCTACAAATTCTGCAATAAATTTAACCAAATTGAAAGCTCCCAATAAACTCTTCCTTATAGCATAAGTTTCTGCTGTAACTGTGACCCACAGTCACTCAATCATGCTTGTGCAAGCCGCCGACAACCAGTTGCATGCGTGAATGATTTCTGTAGTTTTTGCCGCTCTGTGCCGGCTGCTCCACTTGAACATTTCATATTTCTTTTGGCCGTCTACACAAATCATCGTGCGCAATGTTGGCTGCAAAACCGTTTAAATGCGTTGCGAGTGCCGCTTGTACACAGAGCAGACAAAAAGCACAACAAAACTATGAGAAGAATAGAAAAAAAAACCATGGAGTTGAAACGATGCCAAGGGCAATTTCGCCTGTGATTGATTTACAGGAGAGTGAAGTCTGGCGCAATGCACAATTCGTTTGGACGTGAATCACATTGCGTATGCTTAATGTGCTTCGAGTGGAGGTGGAACAGGTGTGTTGCTGTTGCTTCTGCCGCATAAATCACACTGTGTGACTTTATTGAATGTCTATTAAGTCATAATTATAATTTGTCCATTAATAATTTCGATTAGCTGCTGTCGGAATCATTTTTGAAGAATTAATTAGAAATTTGAGATGATCGAAGACGCAGAAGACGCAGAAGACGCAGAAGGAGGAGGCAGATGGCAGATGGGTTGAGAGATTTGGGGAATTTCGCCTTCGGGTAAGAATTATTTTTATTTTATTTTTTATTTTTTTGATTAAATATTTAATACTCGCGTGTTGCGTGTTGTTTAATTCGTTTGATGGCGAGTCAGAACAGAACTGAATATTAATAACTTGTTTGGGAAATTTACACCCGGATGATGCCCGGTTGCCCGCTCAACAGAATCTTTCTCACAGAAACAACGTTTGTCACTCACCTCTCCCCCAACGGTCGTTAGAGCTGAAATCACCTAAGGTCAGCAGGTTGATTTGCCTGCCAAACGAACTTGTTCTTGTTCTTGTTATTGATTTTCAACTTCTACAAACTAAAACTAAATCTCAAAAATATCTCACTTAATTATTGAAGCAAACAATGCGTGGCGAATCTTTTGTCAGGCCAAACAAAAATCTTTTGAAGTATGCTCCGCCCGATATGCTGCTGTAATCCATAAATCACGCAAAAAAGGCACAGATCTAAGTGCAGCTGGTGCTGGTGCTGGTGCTGGTGCTGGTGCAGAGTGCTGACAACATAAATCACACCCAAGCCAAGCCACTCGTTAAGACGTTAATCAAATGGCAATCCGTTGGCTAGGGCGCTAGGAGTCGACTCAGAGTCCAGCAATATTGAAGGCCGTTTTCGTACTAGATGCTTATGTAATTAGTGGCACACACAGAGGGAGAGAGACCAGACCCCAGACTCCAGACCCTATGCCAGCCAAGAGTGGAAAATTGTTGCACAATTCCCAACTGCCGCTGCAGTTTTTTTTCTCTCTTTATTTATATATTTTTTGGGCAGCCTAATGAAGTTGCCATGGCTGGCAGACAATTTATTGACTAAGCTACTGACATATTGAGTAAATGACTGATGAACCTGATGACTGGCTGCATGACTGACTGACTGATAGGTTGACTGAGTGATTGACTGTGTGACTGGCCGACAGCTTGTGGGAATAAAGTCGTCGTCTCTGATCGGCGATCGATACGCTCGTTCATATTTATTTTTTGGCTGCACTTAGACGGCAGAGGCAGAGGCAAGCACCTTGAATGCAGCAGCAGCAGCAGCAGCAGCAGCAGCTACCCATTTATGGGCTCGTAATGTTGCCATTGCAGCTACCGGCTATGGCTATGGCTCTCTGGCTGGCACTCTGGCAATCTTTATGGGCTTTCGCATATAGTCATAATAGGTTTATAGATTCGCCAAAGCATCAAATAAACATTGACTGCTGGGTCCCGGGAGAACGCTTCACGGCTGCTTGACGCTCGCGGAATTTCCGCCTCTGGCAGAACGAGTCGTCGTCTGATTCTGATTTATGGCGCCCCCGGATTTGATTGATTTGACCCAACCAGCTGGGCGGAGAGTTTCAGGCAGTTGCAGTTGCAATTGCAATTGCAATTGCACTTGAACCGCTGATATTTTGGCCAGTGCCATCTGCCGCTGACCATCGCCATGAAGCTCCAAGTCGTCGCCTGAGGCCTGTCAGCAGTCTAGTGACGCGACAGAAGGCCGCCGTTTGCTTCTCCTCTCGCTTGGACATTGACCGCTCCGAATCCCCCGAGCGAGTGATGGATTTTTGGTGTAGATTTGTGTCTTTTTATTTGGATTTAGATTTGTTTTGCCATCGGTTGGGGCTGGGAGGGGTTTGGGTGGGGCAGTGGCTAAATTTTACGAGTACGCGTACAGATTTATATTTAAAGTTGAGACTTTGGAGGCCTAGAAGGTGAACGGCTTGGCTGGCTTGTTGTAGTTGTAGCCATCGGGTCCCAGTGCGCCCGCCTCCTCCTCCTGCCCAGCGCCAGTGGGCGGTGGGCCGTACTCCTGTGTGGGTGGTGCTGGGGGTGCAGGAGGACGTGGCTGATAAGTAGGCGCTGGCGGTGCAGGGGGTGCTGGAGGACGTGGCTGATAGGTGGGTGCAGGTGGTGCTGGGGGTGCAGGTGGGCGCGGCTGATAGGTAGGGCCGGGTGGTGGGTTATAATCCGGAACTGGCGCCGTGGGCTGTGGCTGCGGTGGAGTCACCTCATTCTCGCCCTGTGGTGGCAGATACTCGGCTCCGGGCTGTGGCTGAGGCTGAGGCGGTTGTGGGCGTGGGGGCTGGGGACGTGGAGGCTGTGGGCGTGGTGGCTGCGTTTGTGGTGGCCCGTAGCCGGGAGAGGGCTGGGGCTGAGGCTGTGGTTGAGGCTGTGGCTGTGGCCTAGGGGGAGGTCCATATCCGGGAGTGGGCTGAGGCTGAGGCTGCGGCTGGGGCTGTGGCTGAGGTTGAGGCTGTGGCCTTGGTGGTGGCCCGTATCCAGGAGTGGGTTGTGGCTGAGGCTGCGGCCTTGGAGGAGGTCCATATCCGGGAGTGGGCTGAGGCTGAGGCTGCGGCTGCGGCCTTGGTGGTGGTGGTGGTGGCTGTGGACGCGGTGGTGTGGGACGTGGCTTGGGCTGATCGGGCGGCAGATACTCCGGACCAGGCTGTGGGGATGGCGGCTGTGGGCGCGGCGGCGGCGGCGGCTGTGTCTGGGGTGGACCGTAAGACGGAGCTGGCTGTGTGGGCTGGGGCCGTGGTGGTGCAGGTGGCAGCGTTTGTGGTGGCCCATACGAGGGTGCAGGCTGTGTAGGCTGCGGCTGAGGGCGTGGCGGAGGCTGCTTCTGCGGTGGGCCATAGGAAGGAGCTGGCTGCGTGGGCTGAGGACGCGGTGCAGGTGGCGGAGTTTGTGGCGGACCGTAGGACGGAGCTGGCTGCGTGGGCTGAGGGCGCGGTGCAGGTGGCGGAGTTTGTGGCGGACCGTAGGACGGAGCTGGCTGCGTGGGCTGCGGCTGTGGTGGACCGTAGGAAGGAGCTGGCTGCGTGGGCTGAGGACGCGGCGGTGGCTGCGGGCGCGGTGGTGGCTGCGGACGTGGAGGCTGCGTCTGTGGCGGCGGTCCGTAGGAGGGACCTGGCGCCGAGGGAGCTGGACCCGAGCCTATGCCCGAATCATCGATGTCATTGCCGCTGCCAGGCTGTGGGAAGGGCACCGATGGCTGCTTGTAGTGGTAGCCATCCTCTTGCAGATCCGTGTCCAGGTGGGAGACATCCGCGTGGACTCCAGCCGTCACAAGCAGCGCGGCCAGCAGAGGCACAAGACAGCGCTGCAACAAAGGGAACAGATCGGGAGATCAAAAACTGCCCGGTTCGGGGGCGGGACGAGCTGCGTAACTCACCATTTCTGCTGCGGATTTTCCGAGTTTTTCCGCACACAAACACAGAGACACAGAAACGCGAAACGAAGAGCGAAAACTATTACCGGTTTCGGTTGAGGAAAATGATTTATCCACTTGGCCCGGGAGCTGAAGCTGAAGCTGGAGCGACGTCTTCGTTGCAAAATCAGAAAATCGAATGATGCCCAAATGTTCTCCCTTGGCGCATTTATACCTCAGAGCCACAGCCAGAGCAGCCCCTAAGCGGCGCTTTCGGTCGTACAGACATGCCGAGGCTTTGAGTCAGCCAAGACGAGACGAGTTTTGGGCCCAGTGGGACGGTTGGTCGGTCGGTCGGTCGGTCGGTCGATCGTCATCGTTCGTCGTAGTCGCTGTAGTCGTCGTGATGCTGCAACCTTTGATGTAGCCACAGACGAGAAGCTGTACATAGATAGCTGTACACACAGCGAGAGATAGAGATTCAGATAGATATTTGTAGATCCGAACACGTACTCACATACTCACAAACTCACACATCTGGCGGCTTGTGGCTGGCTGGCTGCTTTTGGCTTGGTAATCAGCGGCGATTGTAAGTCAATAACACAGCGCGTACTAGTTAGTTTTTAGTGTTTTTTTTTTGTATCTAAATTCTGCTGGGTTTTTGTGTGTAATTAATTATGACCAGGATCCGCTAGGCCTTAGGGAATTCCTGCCTGTGTGCTTAGTTCATTATGATGTGAGGCTCTGGCACTGGGCTACTTATATCTGGCAGACTGATTGAAGATGACAGAATTCACACAGCAGTCTGCCCGTGGGCGTATGAGTAATGTGCGAATATTTGTGTGACTTCTAACAGTAACATAAAGTGGCCAAGAATCGTGCTTACATAATTGGCCAGCCATTCCATAGATAACTCCCCAGCTATCTGTGATTCTCATTTGCATCAACATTCCCGCAGTTGGTCAATAAATAAAATTATACAAAAATTATCCCAGTTTTTTTTGTTCACTATTAAATTAACTTTTGCATTTTTATTTGGGTTGATCGCTGCATTGCTTATAGAGAGATCTTTATGGTAGCTGTTTTGTGTGTGTTTTGTGATCGATTGTGAAGCATTTACAAATTGTGATTTTGTTTTTCAGTGTGTGAATTGCTCAATGCTTAAATGTTAAATTGTTTTACTTAAGCTTAAGGTGTCTTATATTTCCGCTTCAACATAACAAAGTTCTGAGAGAGAAAAACAATCCTCCAAACTTAAACCAAACACTGCGCTCACTACTAGATTTTTAGTGTATATATTAGCTAAGTTTTTGTGTAATTAAAATTATACATTTACGCACAATTCCACTAGGTTTTGGTTTGTTTTCTTTTTGTTTTTTCCTTGTATTATTTTGATTTATCTGTTAAACATTTGTTGCTGCATGAACTATTTGCCGACAGTTTAGTGTTCCTCCCCTGCCAATCCTTCTGTGTTTTTACTTTAATTTAGTTACTTGTTTTAGTGTGTTTGAATTGTATGTGTTAGGGTTAATTTTGCTCAAGCCATTAATTCGTTTATTCGTTTAGTAAAGTCTAAAAAATCCGCGCTAATTGTGGCAATTTCTTCATTGTTTGTTCGCCACTTTCCTTCCACATTTTCTTTGTGTTTTTGTTTGCTTATTATTGTTGCGTTTGCAATGCTGTTAACCATTTCTTTCCTACCGCTGCTCCCTCCTGCAACCTACTTTCCCCTGTAGATCTCAATGATGCGATCCTGATCGACATACTCGAAGATATGTGGTGCATCCATTAAAATGCCAACCGTGCCGGCAGTTGTCACAATAAAGAAAATATACAGCTGCAGGCGATCGATCACCATGGCCACGTACTTCCAATCCTCACGGGTCTAGAAATAAGTTAAAAATGCATTAATGCATTCCATGGAATCTTCTGCCACACACTAACCTGTATATAGAGATCCTCGTTACGCAAATGTTCGGCTATGAACTCAACCGCCTCGGTGGCCTTGCTGGCTTCGGGGGAGAGCAGAATGGAGTCGGAGGACTCGCTCTCGCGACGACAGCCATCGCCCAGGCCCAACTCTGCGCCGCTGTTGACCTTCCGATTGATCTTGCAGTTGGGATGATGCAAATCGGACAGCTCCATGACCTCCATTTTGGACTGCTTGCCACCAATGGCGCTGATATGCTTGGGCAGCTCCGCTGGCGAGCCGTACGAGGGATGTGGATGAGCCGGCATGCTCATGCCCGGCATTTCCATCATCCAGCGTAGACGGGTCTTACGCGGACGCTTCATGAACAGCAGGGCGGGCAGATAGTGCAGAAATACGGAGCGTATGTACATGGGCATGCGATGTGTGCGCGGCCCACGGAAGTTCCAATTGATGATGATCACCGTCACCAGAATGGACACCGTGTTCATGATGAAAGTGAACAGCAGATACTTGGCAATCAGTGGCAGCACCAGCGATGTGGGTGGCAATATCTTTGACACGAGCAACAGGAACACAACCAGTGACAGGAGAATACTAATGCCGAGGGTAACCTGGAAGACAACGAGAGAGAGAGAGAGAGAGAGAGAGAGAGTCAAACTGCAGCTTGAACCTGATCTCAATCCTCACCTTTTCGCCCGCCTCCGCTGGCAGATAGAAGACCAAAACACAGAGGAAGGAAATCAACACTGTGGGCAGAATTAAATTCACCGTGTAGAAGAGAGTCTTGCGCCGAATGATGATGTAGAATGTGATGTCCGTCTCGGTGGGATGTGTGCTGTCGCCATCGTAGACATTGAGGTAGGCGGGCACCTCGATGATGTCCCAGGTGCCCGACTTCCAGTAATCCGACAAATCCACAAAGTTCTTGTTGTTGTAGAGGGCCAGCGAGACCTGATCACCGTTGAAGGTCCACGAACCGAATTTCATGATGCACGTCTGCTGGTCAAAGGGGAAATAGGTGACATCGATGGTGCAGGAGCTCTGGTAGATGGCCGGCGGCACCCACAGCACCTCGCCCGTGGGATAAATGAGAACGTTGGACTTGTAGCGCACCTCGTAGTTGCCATCGGCACTGGGTTTTGGGTTAGCAATAAAGTTATTCGGATAGAGAATGGATACATTAATTAGTCTTTGCTTTATGCACAGAGAGAGAGAGAGAGAGAGAAGAACGAGAAAGATCGTTCGCCGTTGGAAAGCTGTGGATTACTTTCGCCTACAACTAATTATTTATATTTTTAGTGTACACAGTTGACAGAGAGAGAGAGAGAGTAAGTAGTAGGAGTACTAGTTGTTACGGTTATCTATGGCCATTTACTCACTTATTGAAGAGCACAATGTCCGGCTTCCAAACCTTGTCGGGTGGCAGACGTAGCACCCCGATGCCGCCATAATCGGCCTCATCCCACTGCAGCTGGTAGTCGTACCAAACCAAACGTAGCCAAACGTTTGATTTCATAATTTGATTTTTCTCATTCTTGTGATTTCGGTTCGGTATTTCGGTTCGGGAATATTCGTTTGTATTTTTTTTGTTTGGATTTTTTGATTTTTTGTCGATATTTATGGTGATATTTTTCATGGTGATGGTGGTTTGTGGTGGTTGGTGGTTACGTGAGAGATAACGGTACGAGGACGATTACGAATACGATTTTTGTATTGCAGATTCGAAACGAATCGAAATCGAATCGACATTGTTTGTGTGTGAGAGTAAGAGAGAGAGAGAGAGAGAGAGAGAGAGAGAAAGAGCGGGCGGGAAGGGATAGTTAAGACAATTATTTCGACATTTTGGTTAACTCTTAGTGTTTTTTTAGTTAGTCAGTTAGTTGGTTTTTTTTTTGGATTTGCTTGTTTAAGTCTTAATTCTTTAGGGTTAGTATTTGGTATTAGAGTTAGTATTTTTTTCTTCTTGTTTTTCTTCAGCACTACGAAACATACAAAGTCAAGGCACGGTTGTGTGCGTAATTATTTACACAAAAAGCAACTAATAAAACGAAAGCTTTAAATAATTTTATTTTGGTATGCCACTGCCACGCCCACAACTTTACACATGGGCGTAACTGGTGGCTGGCTGTGTGTGTGTGTGTGTGTGTGTGTGTGTGTGGCAACAACAAAACTGAAGAATTCGAACACGAAAATACATTTACACGCTACTAATGTTAGTTTTTTTCTTTCTTTTTTATTGTCATTGTTATTCTTTTTTTTTTATACAATATATTTTTTATTAGTTGATTAGTTTTTGTGTTTTTTTTTTGTTTCATTTGGCAAATTTGATTTTTGTAAACACTTACGACATTGATTAGCTGTACGAACGCCAAACCAAATCTTACTCCAACTTTTTGTGTCATATTCTGTACGGGTCGTATGAGTTTATTGTAGCCTCGAAAGAGGTCACGCACCAGGCGCTCTTCGTCTTCGGATGCACTGACTAAAAATAACAAAATAAAAATCCATAAAAACAGAAAAGAAATGCAAAGAAAAAGGGTAAAAAGAAAGCAAAATTCAAATATTAAATAGATACAAATTGGGGAAGAGAAAAATGTAAAGACAAAAAGAGAAAAATATTTGAACAAAAACGTTAAATATTTAATAAATAAATGAAACATTTTAATGAAATCAGAGAATACAGAGAAACGGAACGGATGAGCAAAGTTGTTGTATTCTTTGTTTTTTTTTAGTATTTCTTGGTTTTTTGGGGTTTTTTTTTAAATTTAATTTTTCATTTTTGAATGGGCTTAGGATGATATAGCTTAGGCAGAGATAGAGTTAGGTAGAGAGACAGCGCGAAAGAGAGAGAGAGAGAGAGAGTGTGTGAGAGAGACAGGCTGAGAGAGCGAGAGACAGATAGGACAGAGTGAAAGACAGAGAGAGTGACAGAGGGAGAGAGAGACATTTATCCAACTTTTGACCGATTCTTCAACATCTTCTTCTTCATTTAGCAACTTGGAATTTTGGAATTTTGATTTCGGAAAGAAGTAAACAAAAATGGACGCTCGATTGTGGGTTTTATTATTGGTTTTCATTGATTAATATTTAATATTGGTGGTGCTGCAAGTTTTGTATGTTTTGTTTGTGGTTTCTGTTTACTGTTTGTGGATGGTTCTTGGCCTACGTTGTGTATACGCCGCATATGCGGAGGCACTTCCATTAAGCAAGAACTAGGCCTCACCTAGTGGCTGCTTTAATGCAAATGCCTCTCGCTTTTTGCTTGATTCTTACAGTCCTAGAGTCCTAGCTGAAAGTTTTACTACGATAACACAGCTAGCGATAACGATTAACGATTGGTGCTTAACGACATGTGCAACACTTATAGCTTTGGTGCCACCACCCCACTAGAAACTCTTTACTTTGTCCCTAAGGACCTAGCAGGGCAAAACCCCATTCTATCTATGAGAGTGTGCGTGAAAGAGATGACTATATGTGCCGGTTAACCGTTGTTTTCCTTGCGCTACGACAGCTGAGTAAAGTTTTATCCGAAAGCTTGTCCTCCACTTCACGTGTCGCTTGTGGGTGAGAGAGAGCGAAAAGCTCCTTTTTTGGGTTGGATGCTGCTCACACTCTGGCTTGCGTGTGTGTGTGACCGGGTTATCCTTGTCGCCCATGTGTGTGTGTGGGAGTGCGTGCGGGAACTCATATATGGAGCACACGCGAGCGTGTCTACTGCCCCTGCTGAAGTTGCACTTTGCGGCTAGGTGAATGGTTGGCATGGGGGCGTTTGGGATGTTCATACCGTTACTATGTGACTGTGTGAGTGTGTGTTTTAAGTGTGTGTGTGTGTGTGTGTCATTATATACCAACAGAGCTCTGGACACTAAGTACCTATGCCTCATTTTCAGGGTTCTGTTCTCCTACCAATTCTATTTAGTTGTTCCCTTTTTTCTTGGACTGCTCAGAAGAGAAGGAGTATGAATTAAGATTCGGCAGTTGATACAGAAATCTTTATATATATATATATCTATATAAAGTATATATATTGTATGTACATATGTTGTATATATATAAAATGCATTTTCATTGACTGAAAATCGGTGATTTTCTTTATCGTTTACGTTTTTGTTTTGTGGTTGATCTTTTTTTGTTGTTGTTTGTTTGCTTGGTTGGTTGTTGTTGTTCATCCTGCGGCTGTACGAGGAGCTTCCTTGGCTACCTTGTGCTTGCAAGTAGCCCCTTGAAACGTGGGATAGTCACAGGGTTTTGGGTGGGGTTTGGTTGGATTGGGATTGAGGGAGATTTCAGCTGGGGCTTGGAGAAGTTTTTAATTACAAAAGGCAGGAGATGGAGGATATACTTATGCATATACAGAGAGAGAGAGAGAGAGATAAAGAGAGTACGAGTATAAGGAATAGTTTTTCTTTTTATAGGGTACAGAAGTTTACAGTTTGTCGAGCATTAAAGACAGAGAGAGAGAGAGAGAGAGAGCAGGGAGCAAGAGACAGTAATAGAAGTGGACAGGAAGCTAGAGAGAGAGAGTTGCAAGTGGGCAGGGAGCAAGAGAAATACTAGTAGCTGAAGCTAATAGACAGACAGAGATAGCTATAGCAGAAGATCTACTCTTAACGGGGGGGTTCTCAACTGGTTTTCTTTTTGTGCGGGTGGATGGTTGGTGGCTGGGTGTTTGGATGGATGTATGGATGGGTGTGCTACTAAGTAGAGTTCTACATTAGATTATATGGAATATATAGGATATATATTATGGATATATATAGTTTGATATAGAGTGAAAATGACTAGCGCAGTTTTGTGGGTTTGGTTCTAATTTTTTCTCGTTTGCAGCGCTGCAGCAGCGTCGCTTTGGCAAGCTACTCCAAGTCTCTCATTAAACACTTTGCTCGTTGGGGGAAATATGTTCGCAGTCGAAAGCTGTCGATGGTTTCGGGTACTGACTCTGGCTCTGGGTTGGTTGTGGGGTAGCAGTGTTGAGAGGCTGAGATACAATACAAGGGAGCAGCGGCCGCGGAGCTGAGGCTGGTGGTGGTTGCTGGGTTGGTTTGGTGGTTGCCCAAAATGAGAGCTTGGAGAACTTGTTAAGGCGGCGCTGCCAGCGCGAGTTTGTAAAATTTAAGAAAAAAATCAAATCATTGCTGTAAAAATTTGTTAGCTAGCTAAGAGAGAGAGAGAGAGAGAGAGAGAGAAAGAGAGAGAGATAGTTGTTCTTTTGTTTTTTTTTGCGGAAGGGTTTGGATTTTTGTTGGTAACTTTTAGCAGCAGAGTTTTTCCTTTACTTTTTCGCGAGTTTTTGTTGTAAATTACATAACAGCCCCAGCCCGGAAATTGGGGGCAGAGTTGGCCCACTGCCCCCGCCCCGCCAGTCGGCCCGCACCTTACGTACCTGCGGCTATGGCCAGGAGCCCAAGGATGCCGTACAGCAGCCAGGATCTGCTCGTGCACTCCATGTTGGTTGGGTATTCCTCAGCACTTACAAGGTCCAGAACATGTTGGGAGATTTTTGATGCTGAATGGATGAATGAATGGAGTCCACGCCCGAACTGCAGACACACACAAAGAAACGGCACAGCCTTAGAGCTGCTAAAAACTCTTCTACGTAAAGGGTTTCTCTTGCACTTCACCTTCAGGCCAGGCCAGGCTAGGCAGCTTGCTTGGCTTTTGATTTTGCAACTAAATTGATTGGTTGAATTTTCACTAGATTATTTTTCCGAAAATTTGCTGCCAGAGAGTTTTTCTGCGCTGCTCTGACTGGGAGCCAGTCAGTTTGGGTGCGGATTAAGAACTCTACTTCGGGGATTCTGGATAAAAATCAATGGGAATGCGCGCAGCAGCCGAGTGGCAAACGCACGGCGCAGGCGTCATAAATTTCGGATAAAAGAGAGCAACCCAAAGTTGATGCACTCTCCCTTATCCAGCGGGGTGGCTGTGTGTCTCTGCCTCTCTCTTGCTCTCATCCTCTCCCTTGAGTAGTTTGTAAACAAAGACCGAAACAGCTGTTGGCTGATGCTGCTGGGCTGACATGTGCTCAGGGATGCCAGCCGTCCCCAAAGAAGAAGTTCCGCCACAGTGCCTGCGAAAAGTAAATGTATGGGAACGACAGCTTCCGTGTGCGCTTGACTCTAGAGCGTATATTAATTATGACACAACACTTGAGCCTATAAATTAAGCAAAACAAACAAAAGGCAACACAAAAAAACAACAGACACAAAAGCAACGCCTCAAAAGGTCATGTGGGCGTGGCGCTTAATTTGTTATTTCATAGTTTTGTTGTTGTGTTTTTGTAGCTATTTTTTCTGGCATGATATGTTGCGTCTAATTACTCATGAATATCATTAGCAGGCGGCAGTTCCTCATGGCGCCTCAATGAATGATTCCAAATACTCGTAGAATGTGCCTAAAAGATTACTCAGGGAATTACAGCAACACATTGCACAGAACATCATTAAGGTTTCTTTGGGTTAGGAAGTAACAGTTTGGAAGTTCTTTTGTGTCTTATTTTTGGTAATAATTATGGACTCGTTCTCCCTTTTTTCAGCGCTCATGGCACTGTCAGCAGCTGTCCGCCTGATCCCTAATTACATGAATTACAATATTTAACACTTCAAGCACTTCCGTGTAACGATTTGTTTCATTTACGTTTAAAAATGCTTGCCACAATCGAGGAGCAGTGGAAAAAACTGCCAAAAAAACTGCACAGAAGTCGCAGTCAAAAGGGGGAAACATTATGCATTAACCATTTGGTAATGAAAGCATATTTTTGCATTGCTGATGGAAGCTACCTTTGCCTCGTGATGATGAGGATGATGAGAATGATGAGGATGATGATTTTCATGTGCGCATGACAGCGCAATACAATGCAAGCGAAAGACTCAGGCCACGAACGTGCACAAGTTATGAGACATCATCAGTGTGGCGGCAGCTCTGCTGCATGGCGAGAAAAAAGCAAAAATCAAGAAAAAAAAAGAAGCACACTAAGGTCGCCCCTCGCAGCGCATAAAAAGCAGCAGTTTTTGAAGCCTTTGTTGGTCTCTGAGTCGGAGTCGGGCTGCCGCAATTTGGTTGCCATTTTGGTGTCACCCAAGCAGCCGCCTGCCTCGTCATTCCCCCACAGCTGTGTAAGTGTTTCTATTCCTATTTTGCCGAGTTTTGTTCAGCGATAAAATCAACGCCAACGCAAAAATTACATCAAATTAATTTTCTGTATTTTTCATAATTTATTTTGGCTGCATTCAATTGAAACACTTTGGCCGCACTCAAGGTCGTCGCACAGCCTCACAGCCGCAATACGTGCGGCAGATGGAACCCACAGCGATGGCCGAGATGACGGTAAGTGGAGAAATCTCTTTTTCGTACATAATTATTACCTCCAAATGGGGTGGGGCATGCCGAAAGCATTTTAAATATTTTTTTGGCAGTTTTTCGGAATGTTTGCAACTTTATTTCGTGTTGTTTTTAAACTGTTTAAACCGCAATTAATCATAAATGTGCTCACAAAAACGCGCCACGCCATGGCTTATTGTATGCAAAATTGTGTGCGAAAAATTTAATTTGATAACATAAACATTTGGATTGTTTTTTTCGATTTTTCGCTGTGAGTTGCTGCGAGTTTTCCTTTGTTTGTTTTCTCAGGTGTCAAATAAATTAATTAGTCAAAGCAATTTGAGACTGCTACTGGCTGTTGGTTCTGCTCGTTCCGTGTTAATTTGTACACTCGAGAACCAACAAGAAGTGACGCGCTGCCACAAACGCCAAAAATGAGGCGTCGTCAGGCCATCGCAAAATTGCACAATTAGCAGAGTGTCTGTGGCTGTGTGGCTGCATCTGTGGCTCTGTGTGGCAGTTGCACTGCAAAGTTGAGTAATATTAAAAGTCCTCAACCATATTAACACTTTGGGCAATGTTTTGCGGCGCGCCGCAGTCGAAAATTTGTGTCAGCAGCCAGCCAGCAGCCAGCAAACAACAAATGAAAATGAAAATCATGCGGCAAAGCGCACGACCGACAAAACAAAAACCGTCACAATAAATAAATCTCCGGCATGAATCCATGACAAGCAAACAGCACACAAAAACGCTGAACGGGCATGTCAATGATGGCCTGGGGGGCATGCCACACACTTGCCTTCCGAGCATGAGGAAGTGCGAAGTGACAAGTGGCACAAGCCACGAAAGGCGTTTCCTTATGCCTCCCACATGGGGTAGCATAAAATGAGACGACAACCAGACGTGCCGCAAAACCGCCTGCTAAACGGCCTTCATTGCTTTTAATGGCATGTAAAAACGATGTAAAAGTTGTGTAAAATATATGTAAGCTACGTGTACAGCTGCGACTGTTGCATGCTTTCGGGTGGCAGCAGCTTTTGGGGGCATTCCCACTTAAAATTCGTAGCAAATTTTGTTTTTTGCCATTTTTAATTATCGAAAATTTGCATTTTGACGAAATTAAAACCTTAAAAATACAACGAAAAACCTAAGAAAATACTACAAAGTAAAACTTATATTAAAACTAACAGAACTTGGTTGGTTGGACATAAACTATATACACAATCGAACGCTGGAAGCGAAAGGCAGCGACAATCAATCGATTTGACCCTTGTGCGCTATGTAGGAGTCGTAGAGCGTTGACTCGTTGCGCCGCTTCAGCCGGGAGCAGGCAATGAACAGCGTCACAGTCAGCACACAGAGCAGGGCAGAGCCAGCGGCTGTGAGCGCCGAGAAGGTGCTGGTCTTCAGGCAGGTCTGATGCGGCCCCGGGGGCTTCGTCTGCCGATGGGCATAGACATCATCGCCATCGTTTTCGCCCTCCTGCAGCACGCGCAGCGACTGAAAGAGGTTCACGTTCTCCGAGAGAGAATTCTGTGCGGAGGGACTCTCTGTGGTGAGGGCAGCGAGGCCTTCGCCATCGGTGGACAGTGGTGGGAGCGAGAGATTCGTGGCCGTCATGTTGGAAGTGTCACGCTTAGTGACTGCTTTCAGGTTGCGCCAGTGACAGGGTTGACTCTGCAAAAGGGGAATCAGCAAAGATCCTTCTGGTAAAAGTAACCTAACAACTTACCGGACAACGTCCGTGGCACATGCGGACATCACACTCAATGTAGAGTGCCGGGGAGCCAGTGAATCGAAATGTTTTCATATACGCATAAACCTGCGTCTCGTAGACACCCGCATCGGACCAGGAGCCCCTGAAGCGTGAGATGAGCTTGTCATCCACCGGACAGCCATGCTGATCGATGAGCTGTATCCGCTTGTTGGCGCCATTGTGTGCATAGCAATCGTTGACCACAATGTCAAAGCCATCTATGGAATGCCCAACAATCAGTCAGTGAGCCGTGATTTATGGGTTTGGATAGACATTTACTCACCATATTTGCTTCGCATGTAGATGATCAGGGTCAGTGGATCGCCCACACGCACTGGACCCGTCACACGCGGCCCACCAATGCCATAGCCATTCTGTATTTCCATGTAGCATTCGGGTGGACTCAGTGTGAAGACGACAGGATTGCCAGTGGCCACTCTGGGGAAGGGAATTGATGAGCTTTTCTGTGGGAAATGAATTCTGAGTGTGCACTTACTCCACATCTAGAAAGGGAAAGGTAACCGTCTTCCAAAAGTCATAGCCATACTCGCAGGTGACCTTAAAGTGCTCATCGTATTCCTCCTCAATTAGGGGATTGTATTGCACTGTGACCGTGTTCCACATGAAGTTCTGAGGGGAAAAATTCAAACAAATATTAGATCTATGAATGGGCTTTCTTTTGGGTACCCACAGTTGGATTCTTGCGACTCTCCTCCTGCAGTGAGTTCTTGCCCAAAGTGCCACAGCGATTTAGTTGTATGTAGAACTCGTAATAGTCACGACCCGAGCCATTGATGTACATGCAGTCCGGGTCATAGGCATAGCCCGCAGAGTAGAGCAAGCCGCTGAAGGAGCCATTAAAGCCAATGCGTATCTTCATGTAATCATCCTGGCACTCCGCTTCAATGTCTATGCGAGGCAAGAGCAGGCAGTTAAGAGTAGATTCTAAGCATAAACTAGAGCGACTTCCACTCACGTTGCACCCTCGTGCTGTTGTGCAGAAACTGCTGACCGGCGTACTCCTGATCCCAGTACTCCTCGTGCCATTTGTTGTCCTCGTAGGGCGGTGCATGATAGCCCGCACCACTGCCTGTCGGCGCTCCACTGGAATCCACACCCGTGGAGCCATAATCCAAATGCACTGGATGTCCAATGCGTTGTGGTATGTAGCCCGAGGAGTCGGGCACATGATCGGGCACATCGTGATGCAATTTGTTGCGTTCCACGGCGACGCTGCTGCGATTTCGCACATCTTTGGGAAACTTTTTGGGCCCGGCCAGGCCGGCACGCTTGGACAGCTTCGAGGCCTGTGTGGTGGGTCCCGAAATGTACGATTTGGAGGCGATTTGGCCCACCAGTTCCTGCTGCGCCTCAGCGCCAGTGGCCAAGGGGCGGGCGTCCTTCGATGTCCTCGACGTTGGTGTTGTGGTCTGAATGCGACCCTTGAAGCTGCGTAAATGTGGGGGCACCACTGTGTGTGGCGTTGCTGTGGTGGTGGCCACTGACGCCGCCGAGTAGTCTGTGCTCTGTTCCAGGCCGCTGATGGGTTGCTGCAACAGACCGAGAGTGGAGAAGAAGAGAAGTGCGTCAGTCGCGTGGAGGCGTATACGCAATGCGATAAATCACTCGACTCCAGTTTGTGTCCCAAGTCTTTTGGTTTTTTTATGAACACAAAACGCAAAAGTGCTGCATCAGCAGAAGGCACCGCAACAGCCACAAAGCCACACATAATTTTTTGGCCAGCCCAGACAAAAGCCTCTTCCGTTCGCTGCCGGTCGCTCGGTCGCTCGGTCGCTCGGTCGATACGCAATCTGCATTAGAGCAGATCGCATATCCGTTAGACAGGGCTGGTAGCAGACTGGTGGCGATTGGCCAAGACTCGATTGGTTACGGTTCATGTGGCCTAATCAGGAAGTTCATTCTAAGAACTGTTAAATAGATTACATTTCCCAGCTTCTAGACGACTTGGGCAATGGACTTGAGCAAGAAACGAAATCAGCAAACAGGTGAAAGGTTTCTTACCTGCACTTGGAGTAGCAGCAGCCAGAGCAGCAGCGGCTGCCACAGCATTCTGCACATCTTCATGTCCGTTGTTCAACTGATCCGCCTGGCGGAGGGCAGCTGCAAAGAGATAAATTCAATGTAATCAGAATCGGAATCGGAATCGGAATCATAATCATAGTCATGGTTGCTGCTTGGTTGAGTCTGCTGCTGACCTTGCTAGTGGTCACTCAAGTGTTGTCTTTGCTTGTAGAGTGTGTTGCGTTGTGTGTTGCGTTGTGTCTTTGTTGGAGTTACACCAAATGCGTACGCGGCAGGAAGGAAGTTTGTGGTTCATAAATTAATTGTGGCCAGTGTTTCAGATGAGTGTGGAGGAAGTCTTGGCAAAAACTACACTACACAGAATGAACATAAGAATACTCTTCTTTAGCTTTAGAATTGGATCTTTGACATTCGTTCGCTCTTTTTATATTTTCAAATCAAATTAATTCTTTGAAATGCGTTTCTGTTTGCTCCTTCTAGGACTCCTTTGAGCGTATTTCCACGCTCTTTAAATACTCTGAAATGGTTTCCATGTGCTGCTTCTGGGATTCCTTCGTTCTATCTTCTATCTTCCAAGAAAATCTCAGCCTGTTTCTTCGCACTTAGCAGTGCAAGAACTCCCTTTGCTGTTAGTGTATACCTCCGCCATCAATGTCGCTGTAGCTGTAGCCAGAACAATGGCATCTTCTTTTTCTCTCTCCCACCTCTAGCTATCTGCTGCTCTGTGTCTGCCAGGCGTTAAGGTCAAAGGCATAAAACTGTCAACCATTTAATTGTGTTGAAGAAACCAAACCAGAAGCTGTGCCAGCGAGCAGACTTTGCTTAAACTTGGATTACATTTTAATGAATGATGTACACCCACACCCACACCCACACCCCCTCTTCTGCCCCTTCCCGGCTGTGTTACCCTTCACCCACCAAATGCTTGGCTGCGCTTTACGCTTAGCTGTAAAAACGCACGCCGTTTGCTTAATTGTTGTTATAATTACTCCAACTTCTGCTGCTCGTCTCTTGTTGTTGTTGTTTATTTGGATTTATGGTTTCTTATTGTTTTTCGTCTCTCTATCTCTGTCTCTCTTTGTTATGCAATAATTGTTGGCTTCTGCTGCTGCTGCTGCTGCTGCTTCGTCTTCTCGTTGGTTTCGGTTTTTGGCTTTCATTATTTATTTTGTAGCTTTTTTTGTGGGTGTTCTTCTTACACTTGGCTTTTATAATTATAGTTAATCGCATTGGTCTGACCTTGAACCGTTTTGCCACCGCCTTTTGCTGGTTAACTGCATTACCTAACGGTAACCAAAACACACGCCATGGATACCAGCTAGCTGCAGCCGGTTTTGAGACGTTTTGACAGTTGTTCCTTGGGGGAGATGTGCATAAGAGAAGGGGCATGGAAGGCGGTTGGAGGTTGATGGGAACAGTCAGGGAATTTTTGGGATTTTTAAACAGGAAATTCTCTCTTGTTTGAAAGGATTACTGGCATAGACAGACTTCCAGTTTGAACAGTTTTTGCTGGAGTTTTTTATAGAAATAATTTCAAAATTCAAAAAATATCTAAGATATATTTGCTGAAGAGTTTTGAGCGTGAAAAAATCGATTGTTAATTGTTTTCTAACGTTTCTGCCAGACATTCTTCATAAGATTTCCTTTAAATAATCCTCAAAATGGTATTTAAAACTTCTTCAGTCGTATTAATAAATATCTATGGCCATAAACCCTCTGTTAGTTAGCCAATCCTTAACTTAATCATACTCACATTTGGTGTACAAATGTTTGCTTCCGTTCTTCACAGTTTTTGCTGGCTTCCAAGTCGCTGCAGCACTGACCTGCGCAAGTTTTCTTTTGCTTTTCCAACGCGGTTTTGCTGTGCCTCTTCACACCCACAACTGGCTGACTGACTGCCTCACTGATGCCGCAGCGCTGTGGCACGCACTTTGACCAACTGACACCGAATAACTTGGCCCATTTCGTGGTTTAACAAATCCTCGCAATGTTTGGCCATAAAAGTTGACGATCCGTGCCCGAAAAAAATACTCCGAATGGGACTCAAAGCGGTCTTTTTTTTGGGGGGGGGGAGAAGGTTTCACTTTCGATAATGGTCGCTGGCTATTGCGCGATTTTTGGCTTGAATATTTCGTTTATTTTTTGTTTGTTTTTCTTGTCTACGTCATTAATGGCGTTTAGCTGGTGGTTTGCTTTACATGTTGCACGTCTGTTGGTTTTCGAGTTGTTGGCATCTTTTTCGGCATAGGGTTTTCCGTTTTTTGGAAGCCCGAAAAATCACTCAAGTGCAACTTGCCAAATAGAATCAACGACCGCCAACGAGTGGGAGGGAGTACACGATGAATGGATATGTAGATGTGTGTGTGTGTTTTTTTTTGTTGCCAGATTGCCTAATCTTACATAATAGTCGAGCCTCTCTCTGGCTGCCTGAGTGTGTAACTGAGAGTTCCGTTTGCCTTCCTTGGGCTTGGACGTTGCACGTTTGCAGCTCTTCGCGTCGCGAGCAGGTGTGAAGCCAAGCGCGGCTGCAGCGGATCTTTATAAAGTTTTCCCAGCACCCAGCACCAAGCACCAGCAACATCCATCCATTTATCCACTCTTCTATCCAGCCAGGCAGCCATTCGAGTGCCTAGAAGTGGAGCCAGCCAACCCAACCGCAGGTCGCTCATCTCCTCTCAGCGGCAGATTGTGAAAGAATCTGCGACTCTGCGATTTTTCTGATTTACTTTCGCTGTGTTTCGCCGTTAGAAACGTTTTGCATCGCGGAAGTCACAGCAGCAGCAGCTAGAGTTGGAGCTGGAGAGCAGCAGGAATAAACAAATCCCAGCTCAGCCTTACCTTTAACCAAGGTCAACGGCACCTAACTGTTTTCTGTTGGCCCCTGTCTGGGTGTCTTGCTGTGCTCTAAGTAAAGAGTAAATTTAAGCGCGTTTAATTGCCACCGCCTGCCAAGCGTGTCTGCCTTAAATTACTAATCGCTAATTAGTTACTCGGCACTTTGGGCTCGCAGTTGTGAAAGGCTCGCTTCCAGTTTGACCCTGGCCAAAAGCTCTGCTGATGGACATCCCCCACGCAAGGGCAGCGGGGCAACCCCTGTCCAGGAAACTGTGACGGAATGCTCCTTAGATGGCAAAAGCTGGCCCACTTTCGTTTGTATGGGGTTTTCTGGCTTATAAAAATTATTAAATATTCCTCTTAAATATTTTTCAACCTGCAAATAAAATGCATACAAAATTTCTTTATAGCATAATCATTTTTTTTTTTATTGCAATTTTTTTCATTTCTTTTCTATATATATTTTTATCATTTTTTTGTCCATTTTTTCACGCCGCTTTTCAAACTTAATCATCAGGCAAACATATAATCATCAGGCACAGTATTAGATGTGGGTGCCAGGGCTTGTTTTTAATACAATCTCTACACATACAATACACACACAAAACCGAACTTAAGCTCAGAACAGATCAATTTATAATAATTATAGATAGGCAAAATCCAATGTGCTTCAACTTTGGAAATTGCTCAATTCAATTCAAACATAAAATGGGTTTTAAAAAATACGCCATAAAACATTTCAATGTGCTGTGTTTTGCTTTGCTTTTGTTTTAAATAAATATAATAATTTTGCACATTAAATTGAAATCATTAATCAAATATCTTTTCATTTTTTGTATCATTTTTTCGTGTGGTTTTTTTTTTGCTTTATCATTTTGAAAATTTTTATTGCATTTTTTTTGTTTTTTGGTATTTTATCGTGTTTAGATTTTAAGTTTTTTTGTTGTAAATTGAAACTGTGAACGTTAAAATCTACGCATTTACACAGATAGTTAAATTTGTTGTGTTTTAATTAAGTTTAATTCATTAAATATATAAATTTAATGTGTGTTTTTTTTGTAGCTGCTAAATTTTGATATTTTTCTGGCAATTTCCTTTGCATTTCTTTTCCTTTTTTGTTGTTGTGGATTATGTTAAAATACTAATTTAAAATCGAAACGCGCGTTGCCCTCGCGCTGCCTTTGCCATGATTGTAATGCTCCGCCTCCGCCTCCAGGAGGGGTGGAGAAGAGTGGAGCGAGTGTGGGGTGTTGCACTTAGAAGCAGCACTTGCGATTGTTGTTGGCGCCACTGACCAGCTTGCAGTGCTGCATCTCGGAGCGACGTGGGCGATGGGACTTGGCCTGGAAATCGCGCACCTTGTTGGACCGCTTAATGGCGCTGCGGCACAGCTGCTGATGCTGCTTCTTGTTGTTGCTCTGAGGGATAAGAGAGGGGGAAGGATAAGGCTATGTTTGCACAGAAAGATTAACCAAATCTACCTTCTGGCTCTGACGTGCCAGTGCCTCCTGCTTCAGCTGTGCTGCCGCATGGCGATCGAAGCGCGCGCTGTTTGGGCGCTGCTCGTGTAGAGCCCGAGCCTGCACCTGCACCTGTGCCTGCTCCGGTTCCAGCTCAAGCGCAAGCTCAAGCTCTGCTGCCTCCTGCAGCTCCGTTTGTGGCGCCTCAGCTGCCACCCCGAGATCAAGATTTACAAAACTTTCGGCGCCCTCCTGGGTGGACCTAATACTACGATAAACAGACATGCTGCAAGAGAGGCAACAAAAAGGGGAAATTAGCACTGAGAATTGGGAAACTTTCCGACTGCTTTTTGCGTGCGATTTTTGTGTGGATTTGCGGGGTAGGGGGGGTAGGGGGGGGGGGAGAAATGTGTACTATAAAGATCACCAACCTTGGATGCTCAATCAATAGATTCTCAAATGGTGAAGTTTCCATATTGATTGGCCCAATCGAGGTGAAGCATGGTGGCGGTGTTACGTACCAGGACTCCTCCATCAGCACGTTCCCACCCTGACCCAGACCCAGACCCAGACCCAGAGCCTGGCCATGATCGCTGCCGCTGGGCGAGGCCACATACAGCGACTGGCTGACATTGTCAAGGTCGGCCAGGCTGCTGGGCGGCACACTTCTGGGCGGGCTCAGGGTGGAGATGCTCAGCGGACGGGCCACGCGGGAGCGCTGCAAGTGATTGCGCTGCTGCTGCGGCCGCGGACCGCTGTAAAGGGAATGCGAATTGATGTGCTGACGCCGATGGCGCGATGAACCCGATGTTGCCTGGCCATGGCAAGAGGTGGAGGAGGCCCTTGGCTGCTGCTGCTGCTGAACCTCGACAACGGAGAGCTCCTCCTCGGAATCGCTGCGTGGCAGAGAGTCGTCCTCCTCGTCTGTAATAAATAGTTCGTTCCAAATTGAAGTTCGTTGCACCATCTTGGAAGCTGCTTGGGTACTTACCCTCCTTCTCGACAATGTACCATTCGTCCTCGTCAAAGTCCTCCTCAATTGGTGTCTCCCCAGTGGGTGTTAGCAGCTTGGTGATCGACGCTGGCTGCTGCTTCCGCTGCTGCTGCTGCTGCTGCTGCTGCTGTTGCTGGTTGTTTCGCTGCTGCTTGCCACGACGATTCTTGCCACGCTTGCCGTTCGGTGAGGCGCGCACCGGGCCGCGATTGCTGCTGTTGCCCGCTACAGATGGCGTCGATGAGGTCACCTCAATTACATCTCCCGGGGATGGGTTATCACAGGGATCGCTGCACACAGCCTGCACGGGATTCACTTCGTTGCTGCTGTTACTGGCTGACTCGCACGTTGCTGCTGGCGCTCCAAATAGAAACGTTGCAAGGCTGCTTAACATTATACAATGCTGCTGGGGCTGGCTGCGGCTGCTGGGCGTTTCCTTCTCGCTCTCTCTATATATATTTCGGGTATTGCTTATCGGCTGATTTTGTTGAGATCTTTTTTGTATGCTTTGTTGTACAGTTATCTAGAGAGAGGGTGCGGGTGCGGGTGCGGGTGGAGATTGCTTATGTTTTGCTTGAACGTTGCTCAGTCTTTTATTTATTCCTTTTGTTGTTGTTTCTTGTTTGTTGCTTTGTACGCTGCTTCGCTTTCGCTGCGTTTCTGCTGCTGTTTTCTTCTAGCGTAGAAGCTGCAAGAGAGAGAGAGAGAAAGAGAAATTAGCTTATTGCGTAATCGTGTACACCTGCCAGCCACCCCCTTTGGCGGCTTGCTTTTGCGTGGGCACACCACTCGGTGCAATGGGGCGGATACTTAATTTCAGTTAATTGCTATTCTTATACCCTATCGCTGAGTGGGGAAGGGTAGTACGACATTTTGGAACATTTTAAATTTATTTTTGGCATTTTAATAGCATTAAAAAGCATTAAAAATATTTAAAATTCAAGATAAATTGATAATAAATTGCTAAAAAAAAATTATAAAACTAATTTAAAAATTAGACAAAAATATAAAAGATAATTTAAGATATATTTTCTGTATTTTGGAAGATTTCTATATAAAAATCATTAAAAATGTAAGAAATAGTTCCACATTTTCTTCCATAAATACTCCAAGAAGTACACCCAAAAACGTTCATCGAAAGAGCATCCCAGCAGCGCATTCCGCACACATCATTTTCCTCCCGCTCGCTTCGAAAACCAATAATTTAATTTGTATTTCTTTGGAATATTTTTTGTGTGTGGTTTTGTTTTATTTTTTCTTTGCGGCTTGATTTCAATTGAAAATGCGAAAGTGAAATTTGTAGCTTCATACGAAATTATCTAAAGGCTGTAATTACTTTTGATTGCATTAATCAGAGTTTTTTTGTTCGCGTTTTGCCCAACAGTTTTACAAGCACTGTGCTGGGTGCTGACTGACTGACTGACTGACATCTCTGTGTACTTAGTATATAATGAACTGATGTGGGGCTGACTGTGCCATAAAGTATCGCTGCTGCTGCATAGCCCATTAAGTCTCCCAGTTGATAGCTGCCCCAACCGCTCCCCGGCGCTGCGTTCGCCAGCCACCCACCCCCTGTCCGGGCCTGGCCTGGCCTTCAACCATCCATTCAGCCATCCCAAGTAGAGCTCTCTGTGCATGCGCTGAGCTTATGATCAAGGCAATTATATGGACGGGTACAGAGTACCGAGTACCGAGTGTGCAGCGCATACTCGTATGCAATTTGAATTGAGCTCACGTCATGACAATAGGAAAAATCGTATTTGTATCTTTGCTCTCTTCCCCATCCAGCCGATTATCGCATCGTTCCTGCTAAAGATGCCACACAGCTACACACAGTCCAATCGGATATATTTTGTCGATTAAATTATGCATGAAAGCAGCAGGCAGAAAGGCAAACAGAGATAGAGATAGAGTTGAAATTGGAATTGGAGTTGGAGAGAGACAATTGGCATGGCAATTTGCAATTTGACCGCAAAACGGAAAACGTGAAAATGCTGGAAAGGAAAAGCCTAACAAAGTGAAATCTCCTGCAGCAGGCAGTCAGCAGGCAGAGACAGAAAAGCGTACAGCAAATTGGGATTGATGAGGCCCCCAGTCCCAGAGTCCAAATGTCAGCGAAAGTTTGACAATCAAATTTGATGTTAGTTCAAATAAATTCTGATAGTTGCCAGCAGTTCGAACCGAAATAGACCATAAAGCCATAGGCGATCGGGAAAACTATTTCCGTAATGGTTTTGGAATGCAAATGTATGTTTTAAGGATGCCCGCAGATATGCTGAAAGAAAACATTTACTGCCTGAGTTCCCCTTTCTATTGTTGCCCATATTTCGCCTGACGCAGCCTGATTAAGCAGCACGAAAAAAAGTATGAGGAGGGGAAATATTTTACATTATGTGTATATGCATTCGCATTGCACAATTGGTTGGTGGTGTCCGTGCTGGCATGTTATTAATAAACACGTAGGGAAGCCGCCAGCAATCGAAGGTTCTTACTGCTGTGTCGGCTACGGTACTGTGTCCCTGATAACCCCCCGGGGTAGAGGCAAAGCCAAAGCAAACCAAACAAAGGCAATGGACCTAGCGAGAAAAGTACAGAAATGGTTTCTTTTCGTGTTTTGTTTTTCTGCTGCAAGTACATTTTTTTTTGTTCATTTCACTTTTGTCACATCTGCAGCCAAATAATTCTGACCTTGAACGTGGGATTCTATACATATATTTATCTGTATATGTAATACATATTCCTAGTATATATGACATCAGATTGCATTGCCTTTGTTTTCTTTGTGACAGCTAGCCATATCTTGGCGCATATTTTAGCAAAGACTTTTTGTTGTCCTGACCTTGATCCGCCTGTGGATTATATAAGTCTCGAGTCTAGATATTTGCAATTTTTGTTAGCTGTCAACAATAACCAGTCATTGTCTGGTGGCGAACCTTAATGATCTTTTTGGGGCTTGTGCCGCCGCTATCAGCGAGCAAAACAAAAAAAAAAAACACAAAAACTATTCGCCGACTCACTCCAGTTCCGATAAGCCCCACCACCAGGCCAGACAGACGCGCCAGACAGCCGCGACTATGCTAATAATTTCTATTTCTAAATATTAGTACTGTTTACTATAGCTGGGGTAGGGTCTGGCCTGGTCTCTGGTCTAGGCGTGTGTTGCAAACTGTGGGCTCTCAGTCGAAAGTTCAGTTCTGACTTTTTGTTGTTGTTGCTTCGTTCAATTGATTGCAGGCTCCAGCAGGGAGGTTGCAGGGGTGAGAGCTCCGTGCTAATGAACTTGAACTAATTTAGTAGAACTAACAGCTGCACACAGAGCAGGGAGTGGGTTAGCACACAAAGAGACAGAGAGAAGAGTGATTGATGGATGTGGGGGAAGGAGTGTACAGCTACAGCTGACAGGAAGTTAACAGGAAAAAGGGAGTATAAATGGGAGATGGAATGTGTAACTAAGCAGTCTTCATACCAGTTTATTGTGTAAATTTAATTGCTTATTTCATCAGCGATCAAAAAGTTGCCTAAAAATATATATTTTTCACCTCTCTTCCGAAAGTATTTCACCCAAACAAAGAAGAATATCATATCTAAAGCTTTCTAAGTGCAAACCAATAGCCAATCTCTATATACGCACACACACACACCTACACACATGCATACGGCATACATATAAAATATCGGTTCAAAGCTTTTTTTTGGGGGGTGCCAAAGTGCGAAAGTTTCTTTTGTTTTGATGGAATTTCGTTTGTTTTGGCAATTTTTTGTTGTATATTTTTTGTTCGGGGAATAACAAAAGGCAAACAACTGTAACAAACACTTGTAGGGGTGTGGGCGGGGTGTAAACTTTCACGAAATTATGCAATATGTGCCACAAAAAGAGACGCCGCCTCCGACTGACGTCAGCCCTGACCTTGGCTGTGGAACCCACAGAACCCTACACTAGACAACACACAAATCGTAACTAATTGCAGGCCCATTGGGGGAGTGGGGGATCGCTCACCTTAGGGGATGACAGCCTGATGGCTTGAACTTTCGGCACACAGAAAGCAGACGGATCAAATGGAAGCAGAAATTCAGATACACAGATGCACACAGCCACGGGTACACAGAGAAACGGTTACAGCCGGAGATACAGAGATACAGCCAAGTCGACACTCGTTTGCCAACTGAAATGGCAAAAACGGGCAAACGGGCAAACGGGCGTTCGCTCAACGGAAGCGCATTTGAATTTCAAAAGTGGACGCAAGAACAAAAGCTACACACACACACACACACAATGGCACGTATCTGTAGCTGTTGCTTTTGCTGTATCTGTATCTCTATCTGTTTGTGGCTGCATTTTAGCCCAAAAAGTGCTTTGCTCACTCACAATCTTTCAAATCTTTTGCACTCACTTCGTTCGTAGTTTAATTGTTTTTTCTCTCAATATTTATTTACCTAATTATTATTTTTGGTGTGTGAATTTTCACTTTCCTTCTGCTGCACTCGTTCGGAGCGGAGCGGAGCGGTGCGGCGGGTTGTGTTGTGTTGTGTTTGGTTTGGGTTTTAAATATCAAATGCGAATGATGGCAGGGCTGTCCAGCAGTCAGCAGTCAGTTCGGTTCGAAAAACGAGCGCAAGAGAGCGAGAGCGAGTCGCAGCGGAGAGCGTAGCTGTGATCGTGTGAGCGTATCTAAGCCCCATAATTATGTATTTTTTTAAAACGCAAAAAGCATTTCGCGTAGCGGGGCAACAACACACAACACTACATGGCTGCAAAGCGCCAAAATTATGCTCCAAGCAGCTGTGCAGTCGCTCGCTTCGTGTACACCCGTTATGTATAGAGAGAGCGGGAGAGAGAGAGAGCAGCCGATCATACATGGGCTTCGTGATTTTTGTTTACTAACAAAACCGAGCCAGCAGCGCTCTCTCTTTGTTTCACTCTTACACATATGTGTGCATGTGTGTATGTAAATGTATGTACGAGTATGTACATGCATATGTATTATATCTTTCTCTCTCGATCAGCTGCTGGCTCTGACGTTTGCGCATTTGACACACTTTCCGGGCAGCTCGCTCTTGGCTCCCCCCAGCAGCCTGTTTTTTTTTCTGTTAGATACTTTTCTATGTGCGGCCTGGCAGACCCAGTGGCTCTTCGCTTCCAACTTGCCCCCCCCCGAGCGAGCAGCTGTGTGACTAAGCCACCATAAGAGTGCTGCTGGGGGAGCTGGTTGTTGGCCTGCTCCAAAGTTCAATTTGAAACTACAGTTTCTCTGTGCTGCTTCTAATATTTTTCAGCTGTTTAATGCCAAGTCACGGCTGCCAGAACGGAGTCGACAGTTGCGGAATGAACGCATAAAAATGCTAATGAATCGGATTGACGCTGCCTGAGAGAGAGAGAGAACTACTCGTGTTGCGGGGGATGGCAGCGACATTGAGGGCATTCCAAGTGGCTCTACTCGAGTATCGCATTATGCAATACGAAATCAATTCAAATAAGCCATGCCCATAATAAAATCAAAGCAGTTAAGCTGAAAATTTAGCTATGGGGACTTGTGCAAAATTTAATCTAAATTGCATACAAATTGTGTTAATTCTTATTAATTATTGTCGATATTTGTTTGCTTGCCACCCATTAAATATAATTCCACTTCAACCCCATTGATATATATCTACACTTAGAATATAGAATTTATTTTCTAGCAGGCAACCTCGCGGCCAGGTTCAAGGTTTTTTCAGCCATTAGCTTGTTCTTGTTCTTGTTCTTGCTGTATGTTTCTGAATATTTTTAGAAATTTTATCATGCAACAGCTGATACACAGCAGGCGACAAGTTGTGGCTTTTTGGCTGAAAAAGAGAGCAAGAGTAGAGGCAAGCAAAGTGCGCACACAGGTGCCAAAGAGCAGAAAATATGTACCTATATGAAATCTTGTGATACCACAAAACTTTTCCACATAAATCCAAGTCCCGCACGCGTGCTGTTTATGTTTGTGGAAAAAATTCCCCCACAAGCCACTTTCGTGCGCAGGAAAGTAAACAATATTGGGGATTGGAATTGGGCATTGGCGTCACAACGAAAACAAAAAATCAAAATAAAAACTACTCGTGTTTACGCACAACAACACTTTCAAACTCAACAAATAAACAACAAAGCGCAAAGAAATTGTGGCATATATTTGGCCTGTGGTCTCTCTAATCATGTAATGTTTATGCTACTGTGAGTGAAGGCTGGACAGGGGCACAGGCACACATTAATTATAAGCAATGCTTCGCGTGTCAACCCAACAAATGTTTGGCCTCTTCGACATCCAAGCAAATGGCAGAACAAGCGGCCAGCATCAAAGTCAGGGGACAGCATTTCTTTTTGTGGGTTATTGCGCATAAACTCAAGTTGCTCAGTTCAGGCGCAGCACTGTACTCCAATCCAGTACGCTCTCCATGAGCATAGAGCTTGAAGCTTGAAGCTGGAACTGCGCTGCGCAGTTTTTGAGTTGAGCAACAGTGACGACAATAACCATAAAGCAAATGACAAACGCCAACGCATCGACAGTAGCAAAGAGAAGCTCATTTTTTGTGCCACTTTATGTATTCATTCGCTGGGTCGGGACATGTTGGCTTGTGTTCCGATGAATGTGATATCTTTTAGCTGTCTATGCATCTAGCATTCGTGGTAATGCATACCAGATGAGATACACAACAAAATGATGCACCAAACACATAGAATGTGTTAGATGTTTAGTTCTGTCAGTGACTTGAGTGTGGGGTTTACTGGGAATAGGAAATGTTACCCTGCTGCACAGCCAAGAGTTGTCCAACTATTGAGATGACGCAAACGCCAGCCCACACAGGCAAGGCAGAGACACACTTGTTACGAGTAGAAGGATGAGGAGAGTGCGGATTGGGCAAGACTGAAGCAAGTTCATTGTGTGGTTGCAAAGCTTATCAAACGATCGATGATAAATATGGCCTGGCTTTGCCTGTGTCACCACATCTGAGAACTGAGAGCTGAAACCTAATTGAGAATTTCTATATGTAGAAATTTCAAGTTTGCCGTACCTTTTGGCTGCACTTTGCCTGCCTCTGTGTTAATGGCATTTAGACGAGCTTTTTATTATGTATATATAATTGATATACAATTTAGACTTGTATAAATGAATGTTTTATAACGCGTCATTTCAATTAGTACGTGAAACGCAATACTGTGTGTGACTTTTTTGTTGTCTTTTAAGAGGGATTTGCCTGGGGCACGACGCATTTATTTTATCACTTTGTTTATCAATATGAGTCCGCAAGTCCCAGTTCCATCTGTTCTATATTTGTGTATTAAAATAGGGTCAGTCACAGCTCTAGCAATCAAACTGATAGTCCCAACAGTCAATCGGTTTACGCGCCCTTCTATTACTTGGATTACATCAGGGCTGTTGCTGCTGCCTCTCTTCCCCCCTCTCTCTCTCTCTCTCTCCCTCTGTATTTCTATATGCCAATTAATTCTACTCATTTGTTCATCATCAGTTCAATTAGAAATGCCAAAGTCTGTCTTCCAGTCATTTAAAGTGATTGAAAAGCTAAGCCAGCGCTAGTTTTATTTATAGCAAATCTTACAAGAGGCTCAAACACTCAATGAAAATGTCAACAAATTGTAGAGATTTTTAAATAAATAAATTATTAATTGAACAGCTAAGGAAACGTATCAAAGAGTGATGTATCTCTGCTGCAAATACACACACATTACCCCCGGGGATAAACTCTAGCCAAATTGAATGAAAATAAAAAATAAAATATTTCTGCATGAAAATTCCTCCTTCAATGACCCACTGTAAATGCTTTAAGGATTGGATTGCTGATTGCTGATTGCTGGTTAATGTCATCATTCGCTTGAGCGTTGGCAATTAAAATTCAAATTGATGGCAAAATGTAATACGATAAAGGACACCCGCTGGACATGCCCCACTGGGCTGAGATAAAAGAGAGATAATGGGAGAGAGAGCGAAGAGCGCACAGCTAAAAATAGTTGGGGAAGTAACTGTAACAGTTACTGGTTACCCGATTTTTGCCCCTATTTTCAGGGAGAGTGGAGAGAGAGAGTCGCTCTCTCACTCTCACTCTCCCTCTTCCTCTCTCTCTCTCTCTTCATGCTTTTGAATTTTGTTTACAAACAAAATTGTTTGACCTGCGCAGTGGCTGATGGTAGAGTTTTCCCTGCTGACTGCCTGATTACTTAGCAACCTTCACAGGGACCCTGGGCCCTGGGCCCTAACATACAAATATCGAATGTTTTGCTCTCTCCTCTCTCTCTTTTACTGCAATTATGTGCCTGGCTTGGTGTGCGTGTGTAACGGCAACTTCCGCATCTATTTTGGGGGATAAAATGTAGGCTTGTAGGGCCCGGCCCCCCTTGTAAAAGTTTCTGCAGCTTCCCGCTCTATGATTTTTGCAGGCGGCTGTGTGTGGTGTGCCATTCTGGAGCCTATTTTTAAGCACTGCCCGCAGAGAGGAGTCCCCCCCTTTGGCTTTGGTTAGGCTGCAAATCGATGAACGGTTCGTTCTGGCCTGCAAAATCAGCGCCAGTGGAAAATGAACACGTCAGCAACCCCCAAGACTCAAACCCAGAACCCAATTGAGAGGGAGAGCGTATGGCCATGGGGCACTGGCTGGGGCTGGGGGGGGTACTGCGCAGCGTGTGTGTGCAGTTACTGGGCCTACCTGGGGTACGAGACAACCACCAACCAACCCACCACTGGAATCCCAATCCCTCTTGCAGCTGCGTTTTTTTCCTTTTTCAGCCAGAATTATGACATAATTTGTGACATTTGACAACAACCAAAAAGTTGCATAACTTAATGCCCCGCGCGTATGAGAGTGTGTGCCTTGAACTTGACTTTTGTGTGTCCTCTCGGTATCCTGCCCACACGGCAAACAGGTTTGAGCCACAACTTACTTTCTTCGTGTTTTTGGCAGTGCCATAAATCAGGCGCGACAAGAAAGGACCTGTCTGGGACAGAGAGAGAGAGAGAGAGAGAGGGCCCGAAAACCGTAACTGGAACCCAAAACCAAAACCAAAACCAAAACACGATCGATCAAGTGTTCTTTGTTTGGGTTTCCCTTTATCGTGTACACAAACAGTAGACAGTCATAATTACAGTTGGCTGAAAGTCGCTTGACTAACTTTCTAATTATAGGCGGAACGGGGACGGGTCGGGACGGGGGCAGGGCATTATCTCTCTCCCTCAATGCGTGCCATTTTGGGATTAGCGCGTCGCCAGCTACCTGAAGTCTACAGCCCGAGAGACCCTGAAACCCTAGAGAGAGGCAACCCAAGAGGGCTGGCCATAAAAACTGCCGCGTCAGCAGTTGCCAGCACTAATTAAAGCCACTAATGCCGTCTAACGATGACTTAATTGTTTGCATTTCCATGCCACTGCTGCAACGTTGCAGCAAAAGCCTGAAAAGCATCTTAAAGTTGGATCTGGATGCTCTCCTTATAAGCCCAAGACCAGTTCAAAAATAGCACACAAAGGAAATTGACATGGCTCCTAGTCGGATTTGTTGCTGCTGCCTGCCTGCTGTCTACCCTTTTTGGCCAATTAAAGTGGCCAGATTCGTTGGTCGTGATCTTGCAGGCTGCAAGGCGAAATGTATCTGGCAGATACACAGATACAGGCAGGCAGGCAGCATCAGCTGTTTTGCTCTTGGAGTTTCGTTTTGTATTTCCTTTTGTTTTTCAATTTTTCTTTCGTTACCACAGACAAACAACTGGCCAGACTTGATTTATCATCCCGTACTACTTCTGCAGTTCCCCCAACTCCATTTGGACAATGGACAATGGCAACTGCAAGGCAAAGACCTGTTCTCTCTCTCTCTCTCTCTCTTTCTCTCTGTGTGCACATTTTGCCTGGATGATTCACTTGGGTTTTGGGCCTTCTTTTTGGTTGTGGCCTCTGTAAGTGTATGCCCGACCTGGCACACAGCCAACCCCACACTGCACCACTCTCCCCGTGTTTAGTTGAGGAAATAAATGCTGCAAGGCTAACTAAGATTGCACTTGTCACCAGCGACTGCCAAAGCATGAACAAGACCAAGCAACACATAGAAAACAATCAAAGCTGAAGCTAAACGGGCTGGTGCAGGCTGATAACGATCGCCAAAACAAATGCTAAAAGCGTGATGCAAGTCAAATTGATGGCTCCTTAGATGGTTGAAAACTTGGGGGAGTGCTGCAAAGAACTGTGGGCCAGCGGCTAAGGAGTGTGCACACACACACACAGGCAGAAAACACTCACAGACACAAAAGTGTGAACTCTTTGGATGCAATCAGATTCTGTTTTGTTTCTTTTTTGTGTATGCATCGCTTGGCTGCACTTTGTACGCGTATCTACCCCATGTACACATCTAAATGCAGCTAAAACAAACTTTAAATAAACGTAGTAAATGTGTAGAATACGTGTAAATACACACAGATACATACATGAATAACTACACAAGATTTACTTCTTGCTTCGAGTTACTTCCCCCGCCAGTAGCTTTTCGGGGGTTAAAAATGTTGCACTTACTTGCTGCTTGGAGGAGTTTATTGATCGATCGATTGTTGCAGGGCCAGAGAGGGAGTCCTGCTTCGTCTGTGCCACACACACACACAGTTCTAGGCAACACCCGGAAATTCTTAGCTATTTAATTCTGCAGAGCAAAATACGTTCCACAATTTTAAATGTTTTTTTTGGTGTATATTTTCTGATTGTTTCCGTTTTGTTGTGGGGTTGAGAGAGAGAGAGAACTGACTGAGTGGCAGCAACTCCGTGTCGTACGACTTTTGGCGAGCGAATGATGGTTGATGGCTGGTGGCTGGTGGATGGGCCCAAGAACTGGCTGCCTGCTGGCCACTGCACTGGTATTGGTCGCTCTACCAGCTGAGCTACGACACAGAAAACGATTTCAACTGCTGCGCATGTGCAGTGTGTGCAGGAGAGGAGGTGCAACACGATGCTCTACCTTGAGCTAGCAATGGTCAGGTATAAAGAGAGTTCATAGCAAAACAAAAGTAAATATATGTACCAAAAATCGTTTAAAAATATTCTATTTATTTTCATATTTTTCTACCAAAAGCAACAAAGAGCATTCCTCATTCGTTTGGATCCACACACAAGCAACATTTTTTTTTTCTTTAGTACTTTTGCTCTCTCGCTCTCTTGTGCTCTCTCTACAGCAGCTGACTTTTGTTTGTATACAAAAATCATATTGTGAGAGCAGAGAGCAGAGCAGACCACAAAGAGAGCGAACTTGAAGTAACTTGAGGGTTGCATGTGCCACAAACTTGTGTACATATTGAAATTACTTCAGTCGCAATTAATTTACATATATTTACTGCAAAATGTCTATACATTTTGTCGGAAAGCTGTTCCTTATTCTGCATTGAAGGCCATAATTAATATTCCACTTGTTAAATTTAAATATTCAAAAATCGATAGCTGTATGAGCAACCATAAAGAACACCCCCTTCGATACTGCCTGCAGTTGCAACCTTAAATTGAAATACCAAAACCAAGCCTCAGTAGTGTGGCCATATTAATACCGCACCGCCATCGATATATCGATATAACACGACCTGTGGAACGGCGCACGTGTTTACTTTTTTCGGCAACGCAATTTCTTTTCGCATACATTTTCCCGTGCTGTAGATTGAATTTGCAGCCAAAATGGGCAGACAAAATCGCTCCCGCAAGCGTCGCGATGAAATGAACAAAATAAAGAAGGCGCGCTACGACGCCAAGGAGCTGATTCGCCTGAAGAAGACGCTCGGCCTGCTGGATGCCGAAGGCAATGAGATCATGAAAGATATTGCCGATGTGGTGGACATTAAGACAGCCAAAGAGATCAAGCGGGTAAGCCGAACAGTGTGCAAGCAGTGCAATGGATGTGCCAAGACCAAGCAACATTTTCTGTGCAGGATGCCAAGACCAGGGAGCAGCAGGAGCTGATCTATGAGCATCAGGAGAGCCTGGAGAAGGGCCAGAAGGTGAAGGTGACCAACGACAAGACTGGCGTGGAGCACGTCTTCAACAGCAAGACACTCAAGGACCAATATGGCAATTATCCAGCCTGGTTCAAGAAGAAGAAGACCGCCAAGCGTCTACGCAAGAAGCAACATTCGCAGACAAAGAACTTCAAGCAGGCCTGGACCACGGTCAATGTGCCGCTCTAAGGAGAGGAGATGCCACGAGGGGGTAGGCATAGGTAGAGAGTAAGTTCAGGTCTCGGAGTCTGGGTGGAATTTGTAGCACTACAAAGCAGCCAACCAGCCAGCCAGTGGACGTGTTTATGTTATAGATAAGAGTTTATATTGCATATTAAAGCCTTAAAACTAGATTTGGGTTACGAGACACATCGGCTAACACTACGGATGAACAAACAACGCTTAGACCTAGGACATGGAGGGCGAGGGAAGGATACAGCTGCCGTCACACGATTGCACAAAAAGCGATCACAAAACAAATGGAAATTCAAGTAAAAGAATGGAGCATCGATCGGGGAGTCACTGCAGCGTACAGTAGCTGCGCACGCTGCTCATGACACCGCTGGTGGCTGACTCCAGGCGCCGTGTATTGGCAGACCACATGTGCGTGGTGGCCAGAGCCGTGGACATGGTCCTAGGTCATTCGGGCTTCTCTTTCAATTCCAATCTCTCGGCCGTTTCGCCATCTGTCGCTGTGTCTGCCTGCTGCTCCTCAATGTTGCCGTGCATCACATTCGGATTGGCCTTCAGCACAGAGCCGCCCGTAAAGCCGAGTATGCCACAGCCAACGGCAGCGAGGCCGCCCGCCTTGAGGCCCGCCACCATGCCAATGGGTCCGCCCACACAGGTGCCTAGGAGAGCGCCCATCACGGGATACATGGCCTTCTTGTAGGTCAACGCAGAGCGCAGTGAACGTTCGCCCGCTTGCACATTCTCCAGCGCCTCCTCCGCGTTGTCGGCTATGTTTTGGACAGCGACAGATTGCTCTACCGTGAGCTGGCGCATGCCATGGAACATGCCGTGCAGGTCCGAGATCTCACGCTGCAGATTCTCCATTTGATCGAGGCAGGCCTGCCGCTGCGCCAGTTGATGCTCCTCCAGCTGGAAGTTGACCTGCAGCTGTGGCATGTGCTGGTGTGCCTGTAAATTGCCAATGTCCGCCTGCTGCAGCTGATTGTCCTGCTGCTCGTCGTACTGCGAGCCCAGCGTTGAGGTGGGAGATTTGAGTTGCAGTTCTGCAAAGCCACAAAGAAAACCAATGAAAACTCAGCCAGAGGGCTGGCCAGGTGCTTCGCCTACCCGCAAAGTACTTCATGCCTGCGAAGGCCTTCTCCTTGCCCGGACGCATCAGCTCATCGAAGCGTTCCAGATCCTCCTCGCGCACCTTCTCCCGCAGCGCATCCATTTCGAGCAGCAGATTTTTGATTTGTTTAATGACTCTCATGGCATTGAGCTCCTCCCGCTTGATCTTCTGCCAGTCGCCCAGCGCCAGGCTCTTCTCAATGTTGCTGCGATGATTCTGCAGCAGTCCGAGGTGGTGGGGCACGGCTGTGTCTTGGAAACGCTGCACGGACACCTCGGCCTGCTTCAGCGGCAGCTTCTGGTCGCCCGTCATCGCTGCTGCACTTTGTACCTGCTGCAAATTTGAAAAGTGAAAACTGCACTGCTGTGGGGCACTCCCAGCACCCGTGCCCTTGTCCGTGTCGTAGGTCCAAGCGACTTTCCTTTATGTTTTTTTTTTTTGTGGCGCTGCGCAGTTTCCACTTGTTTTTCCTCTGACGTCACTCTGCGCTGCGCTTTAGGTTGTCTGCAGATTCTAAGTGTGTCTTAAATGTCAATCTTCTAATGTTAGGATTATGCGGGTCGCGTCCCAGTCAAGCGCTGATAAAATAATTCTATTGTTTTCCATTGTACGTATATATATGCATTTATTTATATGAACATATCGATATGGCATGCATCAACAACTTTGTGCTATCGATAGTCTTGTGCGATAACTGGCACTAACGCTTGGTATTTTCACACACAGCTGTTTTTAAAACGGTAAAGCGGCAAAAGCAAAAAATAAACTTGAATTTTTTGGGAAAATGCATTTATTTGTGCAGCGAATTTCTCTCATATACATTATAATTATATACAGATACATGCAAAAACTAAACACTGTTACACTTATGACACATTTCATCGCTTAAGTACTAAAGTTCTGGCTGATTTCTAGAGACTACAGAGGCAGGCGCACTCGCATTGCGGGAATGGCTTACAAGCAGGAGGAGCGGCGCATAAGTTGGTGAACAGAAATAGACAATTAAATTAACTAAACATTTAATGTAAATTAATTTCTTTTCGTTGAGAAATGCAGTTCTTTGTGCCCTCGACTCTTCCTACGGACAATTGGCATTGGGGCCGTTCCGGCACTTCATCAGCAGATTGAGCATCCCCTCCAGCTTGTTGGTGCGCGACTCTGTCTTGTACAGATTCGTCTGCATGCGACTCACATCCTGGGCTTGCTTTTCCTGTAACGAGAAAGGGGAACGATCAATCGGAGTACACCGCGGGACTGCCAATTTCCTACCAGCGTGCTCAGCCTCGTCTGCAGCGTGTCCACCACGCTGTATGTGGCTTGGAGCGACTTTTGCAGCTCGTTCGTGTGCACCCGCTCATTGGCCAGCGAGCGTTCGATCTTCTGCAGCCGCGTGGCCACCTCGGGATCCATCTCATCGATGTCATTCTCCAGATCTCGCGCCTCAAAGGCATCATCGTCGTGGGTGGACACCTTCTTGCAGCTCTGCTGATCCGCCTGCAGCACAAAGCCCTGCCTGCAGCGACAGAAGTAGGAGCCGGGAGTGTTGACACACTGCTGGTCGCACGGCTTGTCCACCTGACACTCGTTCACATCCAACTCACAGAGGCGGCCCGTATAGCCGGACGGACAGGAGCAGGTCTGGGGAGCCGTGCAGTTGCCGCCATTCTGGCAGCGCGTGGAGCAAACAGCTAAGGGAACAGCAAGGAGATTTGTTGTAGAGAAAGATCTGTAATGGATGATGGAGACTCACGTTTCATGCACGCATCCGCACGCGGATTCTCCCGGCTCCAGCCGGTACAGCAGTCGTAGGTCATCTGCTGGGCCGTCTTGTGCTTGATCACGTCCCGGTAGGCTGGCTCGTGGACCACCTGCACCCGCGTGCACATCTGCCCCGAATACGACTGCGGCTGGCAGGGCGTGCTGACATGCTTCCAGGTGGGGCGCGTGTACACCTCCGTCGTCTTGACGGGCATCGTGATTGTCCGCTGCTGCACGCAAATGTGTCGCCTGCAAGAAAAATCAGAGCAAACCCGAGCAAGGTGTGAATTGGATTCGGTGTTGCCATGGGACATGGGAGGAGCGTGGCCTGACCCAAATCAGCGGATCATCTGCAAAAGTGAAACTGACTTTTCCAGCCGAATAGCCGGTGCCAGACACCAGCCAATTACTGTCATAATAATAGAGTGGCCAACAGGTTGGCGGCCAGCAGCGCCCAGCTGGCTGGCTGGCTCGCCTCCGCTTTGACAATTGTCACAAGTGTCCCCAGGTCCAGCTGTTAGTGGAGCGGACAACTTGCTGGCCACGATACGAATGTGTCTCCCTGTCAATATCTGCGATGACAAACACGACATGGACCCATGGACTGGCCACGCAGCTTCATTTGTGGAGGCCAACAGCACTTGAAGCAGCAGCTAAAGTGATCCAAATCATGGCATAGACAGTGGAGTGGTGGCCAGAGAGGTTGGAAAGCCTTTCAAACTGGTGGAAAAGGTGGAAATTACTCCGAAATAAAAAGATTTCCCTTTACCAAACTCCTCGACTCAGTGCTTCTCAAACTATGTGTCTCACAACCTCCCGCTTCAACTCTTTTTAGAGGAAGCGCAAAAAGAGAGCATGGATTGAGAGAGCACCTAAGCACCCACTTTCCCCCTCTCCTTCACACTCCCTGCAACAGTGGCTTGTCCCTTCGAAAAGAACCGCAAATTCCAATAGGCAAGAAATTAGGAAGAGGGGAAGATGGAGAGCATGGAATCTGCGAGCAATGGAATTGGAAAGAGCAACAAGTCATGTACGCATCTGTCGCGCTCTCCCTCTCCCACCCATTGGAAAATGATGAAAAATCCTAAGTGAAGTTTAGAAGTGAATTATTGTGAAATAAATTCCAAAATTGTTGTGTATGTGCAGAAGAGAGAACTGAGAAATATGGCATAGAAATAGCATAGCATAGAGAAAAGTGCAAATGAAGTGTAACAAGTGTTTACAAAATAGTTTATTAATTATTTTCACATGCAAAATGTGCGCTTAGTCACGTGATCTTGCGCTGGGGTGTGCGAGTGTTCTCACTCATTCATGTAATAGGCACAAAGGAGAAGAGAAGGAAGCAGTCAAATGGGCTCTCCCAATAGTGTAAAGTCATTTGAGTTGCAATAATATGCACTTCCCTCTGGTTTAGTATTAGGTCTTAATAAGCTAGAATCCTTGGTAGGGCTCCCTGTAATGCCTCACCTCACCTTACTTTTAAACAGTCCTAATATATTCTCTTATTGAAATTGCTCTTTGCAGATCCATTTACGTGTGGGTGTGTGCTTGTGCTCGGAGCGGATCGTTGCTTAAAAAAACTTTAAACATGCGACTTACAAGAGCAATAAAAGATGGCAGAAAGGAAAAATGGAGAGTTATGGATGAAAAGGTAAGTTTTATTTATTGTTTCAAATATTCTCTGCATATGAAAAAACCCCAAACAAACATTTTCTTTGCAATTCACATATGATTCACAGTGCTTCTCAAACCCCACTGTTATTTCCACTGTTCCAGCAATGCTCCTTAGACCTTTTGGCCTGCAAGCTGTAAAGCCGAAAGAGCGTTGATAATAAGCGGTTTTTTGTGATTCGGGTTGCCAAAAAAAGGCAAAACTGGCCCATAAGCGAGGTGCATCCATAAATTGCCAGGCTCCGACTTGTATGTTGCTGCTGCTGCCACGGCTGATGGTGTCGTAATTGGCAATGCGGGCCAAAAACAATTGCAAGCGCGTGACGTGGCCGCCACTGAGTGACGACGACCTGACGACTGGTCGACTCTCGGTTTGACTGTTTGACTACCGCTCGAACCGCTTCGATGGTTGTGGCAACTCCCCCCAACCCTCAAGTCGTTGCAGATTTTTGCACACTTTTTTCCCTCTGTTTTTGTTTGTTGGTTGCCAAAATTTGGTGCTGCCTCGAAAGTGGCACACAGTTGGCAGTTGGCAGTTGGCAGTTGGGTCCTGCGAGCGGGATATTTAACAATTTCTTTATTGCTGCACATGCATATTTATGTGCTGACTTGGCTTGTAGCCTGTTACAGTTACTGGTACTGTTACCAGGCTTCCCTTCCCTTCCCCTTCCGCTGCACCATAATTCTCACGTTATTTATGCGCCAGCATTCTCGGATCTCGGCTCGCGCAGCAAAAGGGCGCCACGCCAGCGAACGGATGGGGCAAGAGCCAGAAACAATGAAAAGAACGGGAACCGGCGACTGCAACAGCAAAAGCAACAAAATGCGGAAGTTTTTCTTACGAAGAAACTGTGCCAACAAAGTGCAACATGAAATGCTCATTCCACATGCTCTCCCCCATTTCCATTTCCATTTCCATATCCATGCCACTCCGTTGCCTGCATAAATCTCCATCCGCGAGCGGCTCAAAAGTAGATCTTCCCCCTCCAACCCACACCCCAGACTCCCCCCCACTGGGCCAGACAGCGCCAGACAGCAGTGTGAATGGCTTCATTGCTTTGTTTAGAAACGTTTAGGCTAAAATTAAATTTGAATTTTTAATTGTTAAGGGCCTCGGACCGAGCACCTGTGGACTCACTGACCCCCCCTCAACCTCTCAGAGCAGACGAAAAATCTCTGCAGAGAAAGATGAAATGAGATGAGATGAGATGAGATCTCAATGGGGGCAGGGAAACCCTTGACAGACCCATAAAATTATAAAAACATCCATCAAAATTCTCAGTACCGTTCCGCACCAAAAGAGAAGCCAAGCCAAGCCAGGCCACAAAATGAAATGCAGTCCGAGGGCCAATTAATCAAAAATTAAAAACTGTTGAACTTTTACAAGAAATGCCAGCAACGAAATATTGGTGCGGCCTCCACAATCCAAAGAAAGTATTCAGGAAAGAGGCGGCCAGTTGAGGCCAAAGTTTGAGTGCGGTTTATTGATTTACGATTTATTTTCATTGGATGGCACGCAGAAATTGATGAGCCAGCCCGATGGCTGCAGGCCAAAAGGTGACCCAAAGCGGACCAAACCGCAACGGATCGAAACGGAGCGGAGCGGAGCGGAGCGGAGCGGGTGTGTGGGCTTAATGGACTGTGTCGGATGCAAGCAGGGCTAATAAATGGATGCGGCTAGTGTATACACAGATAGAGTTTAAAATACATTCAGAAATGTCTTGTTTATGTGCTGTGAAATGGGGATGGATGAGTCACACGTTGATGGAGTCCAAGAACTAAAAGGAAGTTCAAGAGTCTCCCAACCAGAAGCTCCTTTATCTCTTTTCTCTCTAGGAAATGAATTCCCAGCAACGCTTATCCTTGACTCAAGCCCTGTAAGTTGATAAATATTAATAAACCCAACCCCACCAAGTCACAATATTTTCCTGCCCTTCACTAAACTTAATTAATACTTTAAATAAAATAAAAGCCCATAAATTGTCGCTATTTTGCACCTCCCATTGTGCTGAAACCGAAACCTTGGACGTGAGCCTTTAGTGATTTATTTAAATCTTTAAACTTTAAACTGCCTTTTGTGTGCGATTCTCTGGCTGGACAGAGATGAGATGAGAGTTGAAACCAACCAATTAGCCAGATTTAAGCCAGATGCAACCTTAGATGCGGGGTCTTTGAATGGCTCTGCCATTTGGCTTAAGTCATTTTTATTGAACCTCTTTGAATCTTTTGGGGTGGGTCATTTGGGAACCAGTTTGCATTTTGTCAATATCTTTACAACTGCAACGTGAATGAATGCATTTAAAAAACAGTTAAAAGCCAAACAGTTAAAAAACCAGAGCCACAAAAAGAGTTGGCGACACTTAACAGCTGTAAACGGCTTTAGTGCCCGAGCTCTTTGGCTCTTTGGCTCTTTGGCTCTCGGACTCTGGCTAAAATATGCCGGGAAAAGTGCAAGCCTACTCCGACCGCCTGTGTGGTTGGTTGCTTATCGTGTTTCCAAATGAAAATGTGAAATAAATTTATAAGAAAAACATAAAAATATTGTTGCCACAGTCATAAAATGAAGTTTTATGTCCCCAGTCATACACAGAGATGATGGAGCAGGAGTAGGAGATGGCAGAGTGAAAATGCCTGAGGCTCTGGCCTAAGGCCTGATCCGAAAGTGCGGGTATCTGTTGGCTAACTGTTTGGGCCATTTGTGGTCCGGCAGCTAATCTGATTTGCTACATGAAATTAGAATTAAATTGGCCAGGCAAACGAATGTGCAATTCCAGACCATGCCACGGGACAGGGACAGAGGCAGACCTGGCCAAATGCATCATTAGCCCGACTGTAACCACCCACCCACTACCCCGCAACACGACTCGGACTCGGACGACGACGACGACGACAACAAACAACGACAAGAAGAACAACCACGACAACGGCAACGACAACGACGGCTGCCAGAAGAAGAACAACCACCACAAGCAGGAGAGTTGAACATTTTTAGACTTGCTTCCTGGTCCCATGGTCCAGCTTTATTTGGATTTTCACTTGGCGTAAAACTGCAACGCCCCAACATGGAGATGAAGATGAAGATGAAGACGACGACGATGGCAACGGCAACGACGCACTGCCTCAGCAGTTTTTCTTTTTCTAATAATATTTCAGTCATGTCCATGTCCATGTCCATGTCCAGAGCTCTGGCAAGTGCAGCTTTCAGTTTTGTTCATTTTCAACGCAAAGAATTATTACAGCACTCAGCTGTGCGGGGCAGTCTGCTGAAGTGGAAATCCAATATGCGACTGAACAAATACCCCGAGCTGGCACGCACATACCCCTGGGAATGAATGCAACTGAATGCAACTGCGGAAGCAACATCTCTTCCTCGACCCAAGCAAGAAAATGTCTTTGAAGAACTTGTCAGCACTAAATCAGTATTGGACTTGGAGGGCTGTGCAGCGTTCGAGTATTCCTTCACATTAGTTTGAATTATGCATGAAATGAATGCAATTTCCATGGAGATATTTCGCTTAGTTTTTGGTGCACTTTGTTTAGCTTTGCTGGCAGTTTGATTGAGTTATGAACTGAAGATT